ATTTATATTTAACATTGTTTTAAATTTATCGAAGGAAAATAACTAGTAGATAATTTTTCATCAAATTTAATACACAATAGTCCGGTCAACATAGACATTTCAAATAACGAAAATTCCGACAGAGCTAAATTTTGGTGGAGACCTTGGGTACACCATTAGAAATAAAGTGTCAAAAGTACCCATCGATCACATGTGTGCTAAAAAAGTTATTCGGGGTCAAAGGTCAAAATTTGAGGTTTTTTAGATTTTTTTCGAAAACGGTAAGTTTTATCAAAAAAGTGTCCCTAACAAAAATTATAGATCTTAAAATTATTTACAAAAATGTTCCTTATACTTTTTTTCTAAGAATCACCATTCCTGAAATATCGCGATTCTAATACCTAGTTGAAGGAGTCACGTTCTACATGATATGCACACATTTCCACACCACCTGTGAGGTAGTGTACTTTGGCGCGTTTTTTTAACGTAGTTTCCCCGGTAGGCCTACTCCATGAACTGTTATGACGGAATTTTTAGGGACAATACTCTTTTAACTGCATGATGATTATTGAGATTGGTTATTGACTTTAACTGTAGTTCTGATTTCTTTTGATATTTTAATCTGATTCATACTCTTCAAAGTCGACTTCAACAGTCATGTCTTCCTCCATTACTTCTTCTTTCTCTTCTTCTTGCTGGATGATCATAAATTGTTCAAATGAAGATGTATCAGCTGTCTCTTCATCGAAATCACATGAATCTTCGTCTGTTGTATTCAATGGGACATTTGAGCAAGATTGGCTTTGGCAATTAGTACACGCTGGTGAACACTAGTAACCCTACTTTTCTACAGCCACATTTAGCACTACAACCTTTTTTACAATTGCAAAAAATAATGTTTAGGAGTTTTTCCGGAGCAGATGGCAGTAAAGTTTGAATCGGTTCCAAAGTATTATCTGTTAATATCCAACCCCAGTCTTCTGGGTTCAGTTGATTGCCTAGCCGTGTCTGAACTTGATAGTATACTCGATACAAGTGTTGATTAGCAGAAGCCGATGCTGGGGGAAGATAAGATAGTTGTACTTGTTTCTTGTTTCGTGTATTTTTTACAAAAGTTTTTACAATAGAGTAGCCAGATATTATTCAAGGCCATGCGGGTAGAAGGGAATGGCTAAGGGACTGAGTTTCTATTGAGTGTATATTCTCAGAATAGTATAATTTATACATATAAAAGACACAAATAGGCATTTTTACTTGTATTAAGTGCCTAACTATGTATATACGTGGCATATATGTGCATATCATGTAGAACGTGACTCCTTCAACTTTTAAAATCGCAATATCTCGGGAATGGTTATTCTTGGAAAAAAAGTATAAGGATCAATTTTGTAGATAATTTTAAGATCTATTTTTGACTGAGCTACATTTTTGATAAAACTTACCGTTTTCGAAAAAAATCCAAAAAACCTCAAATTTTGACTTTTGACCCCGAATAACTTTTTTAGCAAACATGGGATCGATGGGAACTTTTGACACTTTATTTCTAATGGTGTACCTAAGATCTCCACCAAAATTTAGCTCTGTCGGAATTTTCGTTATTTGACCACTATTTTTATGACTAATTTGACCGGACTACAACTATTTTAGAGAAATTTGAGGAAAAAATTGGTCTAACATGTTTCTTATTAAAATTAAAAATATTAAAATTCACCCATATAAAAAAAGTCCAGGCCAGACGTTTGTGGCAATGTGGAACAAACAGTTGTCAAACGATGATCTTTCAGGATCCTACTCATAAATAATAGTTCCGTTTGATTCCCTCAGACTACTTTTATTTAAGGATGTGTTAAACACGGAAAACTAAACACATTGCAATTCATTAAAGCAAATATATTTTTTTTAAAAAACCAAACAGCTAATTTGGAAATAATTACATATATGATTATTCACATCTCTTACAAAAAGTTTGTTTCGCTATTGTTTCAATGTGGAAATAACTCACTGAATAAAATCAGTAATATATATTTCCAGTGTGGTGTCGATCAAAGCCTAAATTTAGCGTCCCCGTATGCAAATAAGTTCTCGAAATTCAGTTTAAATTGATTAACCCATATAGGCTTTGGGAAGTAAATTACAACATAAGCAATTTCCAAACCAGTTAGTCTCTCGTCCAATCCCGTCTTAATCTTCACGTTCATAACCAAATCTCTAGATATCGTAGCTCAGGTGAGGTAGATTCATATAAACTAGTTTCATATTCGGATTATACAGAGTGTAGGAAATCTACTTTTGGTTGTATAGGTATTCACTTCTGTTTTTAAAGGCATAAGTAAAATATACTTTCAGAGAATATGGATCAGGACAGCACAAGACATGAGAGTGGCAGTAGTTAAGGAGATGATATAAATAAAAATAATAACAAACATAATTACATAACAATACATATTACATAATTAAAGCAACATAATCTTGAATTGTAACGTTATAAAATGAATACTTTTGGAAGATACCTATATTCAATTAAATAAAGACGCCTCTATTTTCTAGTTCTACATGAAAGAGAAAAACATTGGAGGGATGTTTCAGAATAATAATACCTACCTACGATTTTTCTTAACTGGTCCAATTTTAAATTTGTTTCCAATTGTACAGACATTTTTTTAACAGTATATAAAACTCGTAGCAATAGGTAATTTTATACATAACAGAGACATAAACAATTAAGAATATTTATTATCTTATTCTCTAACTTACAATTAGTTAAAATGTACCTGTCACGGAATGATTAAAGGAGTAACATCTTAAAAACCTATTTCACTCGAAATTAAATTGAGGAAAAATTTTAGAAAACGCCAAAATCTATTCGAAGATAATAATAATATCTCTTCACCTCATTCTATCATTCTTCTCGCAAGGATAAGCCCAGAAGTGGAAAACTTGTGTGGAAGAGGGAACAGCATACTATTATCGAGTAGGCGACATTTGCGCCCAGGCACGAATTACGTTGGTAAGCCTTAACCATCACTTACTGCAAAAATTGGAGAAACCTGGTCAATTACGAACTTTGTTCCATGCTATCCCACTGGCATGGAGCGGGTCTAATTATCCTTCTAATCTACGGTCTTCCAGTCGCGCGGATCGAACTCGCGATAGTGGCAACATCGATTCTAGTACTGACGCCTTAAACCGTTCGGCCAATAATCTTTATGGTACATAAAAGATGAGGTGGATGAAGTAAGGAACACTTTGTATGTCGAAAAGAAGTGTTCTACAACCTATATTTGTTAATATGATTTTTTTTATTTAGAGGTATTATATCCGCAGCTGAAGTTGGTTGTGTACAATTCAGGGTACCCTGTATAGATCCAAACCGTTTTATTTTGATCCTCACCAAAAAAATTTTTCAATTTTAAGAATATTCTGCATGTTTTTAAAATTCTGAAATTTGCTGAATATACAGGCTGTTACAAATTCGCTTCTCACTACAGGGATCTCGGAAACGGTAAGAGGTACGAAGTAGCTTAAATGGGGGCAAAGTTGTGTAATCAGTGAACCAACATTATGCCTCTAAAAAATCACGGCTAACATGATTAGTTTTCGAAATATTTGAATAAAACCAAAATTTTTAAAATCCATTTTTGTTTCATTTCGGCCTTGTTTGAGGTGTTATTGAAAAAAGAAGAACACTTTCTCATGGCCTCTATCGAATGGCATAATCAATTTATATATGTAACGTTTCATCTCTCCAGGACCATCATCAACTTCATTTTTTTAAATACGACCATAGAAATTTTATTACATTTTTTGCAAGTCTTCATGATCCCCAATACTGTACTGCTTCAGCCCAAACCAGATTCAGACGTTTTGTCTCTAAAAATTCATCTTCAGTGTATTCGTTCCAAATCTAAATTTTTTATTTAGATTTCTTTGTTTATTGAATTATCGTACACTGTAAGTGTCGTTAGACCCTGTGAAATCCATCTAGTTATTTAAACTATTACCAACACGCGTTACAATAACATATTTATTTTTATTAACTATTACCATCACTTGGTCATACATAACTCAATAAGTTGTTGCGTCAAAATTAAAACATTATTACAATTTTAATTTTATTATGACAAATTAATTCTTAAAAATGCATATGAACAACCAAAACTCCAACTGAATAGTATTCTTCAAAAAATTTCAATAATTCAATTTGGAACGAATACACTGAAGATGAATTTTTCGAGACAAAACGTCTGAATCTGGTTCAGGCTAAGGCAGTACAGTATTGGAGGTCATGAAGGCTTGCAAAAAATGTAATACAATTTCTAAGATCGTATTTAAAAAAATGAAGTTGATGATGGTCCTGGAGAGACGAAACGTTACATATAAAAATTGATTATGGCATTCGATAGAGTTTAAAAAGTGGCCATGAGAAAGTGTTCTTCTTTTTTCAATATCACCTCAAACAAGGCTGAAACGAAACAAAAACGAATTTCCAAAATTTCAGTTTTTTCAAATATTTCGAAACCTAATCATGTTAGCCTTGATATTTTAGAAGCATAATGTTGGTCCCCTGATTACGCCCCCATTTGAGCTAGTTTGTATCTCTTACCGTTTTCAAGATCCCTGTAGTGAGAAGCGAATTTGTAACAGCCTGTAGAAACCTAAAAAGTTCAATAGTTCAATAATTTCAAATAGTTAAATAATTTCAAATAGTACAATATTTTCAAATAGTTCAATAATTTCAAATAGTCAAATTTCAATAATTCACTAATTCAAATACCTAGTCGAATATTTCAAATTTCAAATAGTCAAATAGTTCAATAATTTTAAAATGTTCAATAATTTTTAAATAAAGAGAGAATGTATAATATAATAAATAATGAAACAAAACTTTTTTGATTTTAAACTTTTATTCAGTTGTTTAATATAACGTATACAGACAAATTAATTCATAATGTCCACTATTTTAAAATAGCGTTGTTCTATAATAATATGGGATACAAAGTATTATAATAATAGCTTTTTACTATACCTCTTCTTTAACAAATCACTGTTACAAAACTATTACTTGTTTTGAGCAACCCTAGATAATACGGAACTGTTAACATTTATAAAAGCTTTACAAAATTATATTTTATTTAATATATCCATTTATTATAATGCAACAATTTTATTGTTATTCTTTATATTTTTAAATTCAAGTACCTGATTGGCCATCATCCGTAATGTATCCGAACTTGTGTAAATCTTCAAAGTATTTTTCCTCCGTCAGCAACTGCATATACCACGATCTGTTATCGAAATGGCCAGCATTCCCTCCATATTCAATAGGTAGAATATCAGGCGATACGAAGGCTTGGAGAGACGTCAGATCACTGCCATGTACAATTATCTAAAAGCAGAATTACGATAAGGAATAACTAAATGACGACAAACGTGGAAATCATCATTAAATTAGTTAATGTATTTTCTCCAAACATACAACCAAGTGACATACTAGTAGATTATACGCAAACTAATGAATACTAAATTCAATTTTGCGACAAGACTAGGCGCAGACTCTAAGATCTTTCCAGACGTTATCAAGTTTTATTTAGTTCATAATGGAATGTTAAATCCAGCGGCAAATATAAATAGGGTGTTAGTGAAGTCTACCGAAAATCCTTAAGGGTGAATTAGAGGGTAAAACTGAACGTAAAATTTGTGGCTATTCGCGCAAGCTTACGTAGGTAGTTTAATAGAAGACACATTGTTCAGAAGGAACAGGAGTAATTACAGTTTTACTTGTAGTGGCAAGCATTAAACTGTAACTTAAAATCCCTTGATAAATAAATGAATGAAGAAGCAATTCAATAGCAATAGAATATTGGGAATGATACTGGTAAACGTCACGAAAATCTGTAACCTAGAAATGCATTAATTCATTTTCGTTATTAAATAATAGTTCATTTTGAAAGAATATAACCCCAGAAAACATTGCAATGGTGACTGTTAATGAAGCTTTGCGACAAAAATGTCTTAGTTTCGATAAAATATATGTTATCGTCGGCAAAAGATGAAAAAATATTTAATCTTAATAAAAAGTCATTAAAGATTACACCGTAGATTTCAATCAATTTTCTTACGGGTATATTCAGAAAAAATAGTTCAATTTTGGTATGGACAATATTTTATCCTTTGTTAACAATAATTTGAAATCAACATTCAAACAAAAAAAACAATTAAAGCCAGTACAAATTTTTACATTTTAAATTTAAGGCAGCTGCAAATTTCAAGACAACTTCAACACATTTTTGGCTGGCATATTGTAAGCGTATTGCATATAGATTGGACTACAGTTTTAAGACTAAATTTGTTGTACCTATGTCAAAAGAAGTTTCTTTTGACATAGGTACAACTATATAAAAGTAGCTATATTAGAAGCGTGTAATCCTAGACAGAGGTCTGGTCATAAAACGCAGAAAGAAGAAATATAATGGAAATAAAACGTATCAAGAACTAAAAAATAAGCTTGTCAGACCCATCCTATTCATATTAACCAGAAGTTGTCTGCTATTGAGAAACGAAAGTGTTTTTTTTTCAAGTTTATTAAAAGTTTGAAAGTGCCGCGGAAAACTATTATTAAAACTTCATTTCAAAATTGCCTTATTAGAAATGTGGTTTTACATGGTACATGTTCTTCAATGGCCTTGAAGGAGCATTTTTCTGACCTGTGCTGCTGATATGATAAAATAAAACTTTGGCAGATAAGCGAAGCAATTTGCGATAGATAAGCGTAACACATATTTTGATCTTAAAATTTTTTGGAAGCTCTTCATCAATGCAAATTCGTCACAGACTTCAAAGGCCACTTCAAATAAATCTATCCAGGACTACTTAGCGAAACGGAAACATCGCTGAGAAAAGTGTGTGAATAGGGGAGGGCAGTACTTTGAAAGAGATAAAGTCCAATAATGTATAAAAGTAATAATAAAGNCATCAATGCAAATTCGTCACAGACTTCAAAGGCCACTTCAAATAAATCTATCCAGGACTACTTAGCGAAACGGAAACATCGCTGAGAAAAGTGTGTGAATAGGGGAGGGCAGTACTTTGAAAGAGATAAAGTCCAATAATGTATAAAAGTAATAATAAAGTTTGAAAAACAAAGTTCGGTTATTTTCTGAACAGATCTCGTATTTCGGCACATTTTTATAAAACCCTATCGATTGGTTTTCCTCAAATTGAGCTTCATTAATCGTAGATTATTTTGTTGTATAATAGGGCTATCATTGTATTGCTATTACTTTGGGGAAACTCCGTTTTCAATTTAGAGGTAATAAAATTAAGATTAAAAACGATTTTTTTAATAACTCCTTAATTTTCTAACATACTGAGATGAAAACGTTTATAAGATGTCAAAATCGAAACGTCAGCGGAAGAGTGGAGGTGATGGTGCACATCAATTTTATCTAAAACAGCACTTCTCAATCATAGGCACGCGTAAGGAATGACTGGGGGTAAGGCGGTATATCCCTCCCCACCATTCCTCCGCTTACACTTCGATTTTTTTTAAATTACTAAAAAAATACGGATAATCTACATATAATCGCGTGCAAAATTAAAGGCTTTAAATTTAACACACTGTAGCACAAAAACAGAGCACCCAGATTAAAAATGACAAAATAGAAGTCCCATTATTTTCACCCAAGTATCTGCCGTTAACAGCTTGACCTACTAATTTGTGACGCCCTGTAAAGTCGGCAGAACACTGTATTAAAAAGAAATTGTTGCCGAAAAGAAGTTTTATTTAAATAGAAATCGACCAGTCCCAGCATTTTTTCAACAAGTTAGTTGTTTAAAAATATTGAATGTATCCACTACTTTCAATATACAGCTTTTAATCCGGCTAAATAAAATTTGCATAAACCCTTACCCTCTTGCGGATTTTTTCCTTCAGGAAAGGCTTGAGAACGGCGACGACCGCGTCAAAATAGAAGGGCTCATTAACGATATGGAAGCCCTTGAACCTCAGCGGGAACGTCTCTTGTACCAGCTCAACCATTCTCTTGGCGTAATAAGGAGTGAAGAACTTCGCGTGCTGTAAACTAAGCCCTGCCATATCCAAGATAACAACGATCCCCGCTATCTGAGTTTCCGCTTCACGTACTATTTGCTCCAGCGCCAAAACGTTGACGCGAAAAACGTCGTCTATTGTTACCTTCGACGAATCGAAGTTATCTGGAAGAACACAATCAATTTTAGCCCACGTCGCATCTTATACGTTATCAGCGTTTCTCGTTCTCCATTATTCAGTCAGAATTTTATGACCGATATAACCACTTGCGTTTTCAGGAAGATACGTACAAAAGGTAAAATGTTTCACACATAAACCAATGTATTCACATTGTTCCGTAATGTATTTTGAATGAAATTCAGATAAGAATACCGAGTTTAAAATAGTAACGAATAAGTTTTGCAGCGCTTAAATAAATCGATTTTTGTTTTTTGAGATCTTTCTTATCAATTCTGATAAATTATATTTGATCTATGACCATTATCTCATCATTAAAATATCATTTTAATTAAAGGTGATATTATTAATAATATTTAAAAACCTTAACTGTTAACAATAATATTATCGGATACAGATATGACCAATGAAGAGCTGTGGTTCCAAGAAAATACGTTAGCATAAGAACAGGCAATTACCAACACATAATTTTGGATACAACACTAGATTTCTAAATTACTTACCACCGAAAATGAAAAAAAAAAACTAATTTTCAAAGATTAAATCGTACGTTAATGATGAAAAGAACAAATTCGTTAAAATTCAGGTAATTATTTTGTGGAAAAACGCTAGGACACGTCGATTAGTATTTTTAGTTGCGGATTTTTTGACATAAGAAAATTGTGAGTGTCTCAAGAAGAACATATGCAGTCATCATTAATTTTTTTTAATGGAACGCCCTGTATCTTATGCCATTTTTGTATTGTACGGTAAATTATGAACATACCATATCTCTAAAATTAACGGTTTTCGTAATAATAACGTTTGAAATGTGATAAATGGAAAAAAAATTGCTTAATGTCTAATCATAAAACATTATTTAAATAACCATTGCTCTATAATAAATGTTCAATGTTTTGTTCGTTTATATTTTTGTAGTCAGCGGATTGTTTCCCGTTGAACATTTTCAGTTACCCCTGCTGGAATAAGTCTTATTTTCGTATACCATGTTTCAGGTCATCAAGATTATTTGGTTTATTCGCGTAAACTTTAGATTTCAAATAACCCCAGAAGAAGAAATCTAAAGAGGTTGAATCCGGTGACCTTGGTGGCCACTCAATAGGACCTCTGCATTCAATCCATGTATTAGGGAAAGTTGAGTAAAGAAATTGTCGAACTGCAATAATTGCAAAATGAGGAGGTGCCCCATCGTGTTGGGACCATATGTCATTATGAGGAATATCTAGATCTTGTAGATTAGGAAACACAACAGTTAAAACGGCGAGTTCAAACTGAAAAAAGTCTAAGTAGCGTTCTTCATTTCAATTTTCTTAAAAAAAAAATAGGGTCCAGGAAATCGGATTTCAACAATACCTTCCCAAACATTTATTTTTTGACGATGCTGTGTGTGACAGACTTGTGTCCAACGAGGATTTTCAGTTGCCCAGTACCTGCAGTTTTGTTTGTTTACGTGTCCATTTAAAACAAAAGTAGCATCATCAGAAAAAATAATCTTTCGGGTGAAATATAAGTTTTGATTATTCATCTCAATTATCTGCCCACAAAACTGCGTTCTTTTATCATCTTCTAATAGTTCATGTAGCAGTTGAACCTTATAAGGATGGTATTTATTTTTTCGTAGTATTTGTGACAGATCCCGATGACAAATTACAATTCCTGGAGATTGTCCTAACGGCTACATGGGAATTATTTACAGTTTCTAGTAAAACGTCTAATTTAGAATCTTCTGATATTTCTGCTGGTCTTCCTTTAGGTAAATCTTTAACGTGGCCGTGCTCAGCAAATTTCAATTCAATTTTGCTGACAGTAGATCTAGTAATTGGAGGTCGATCAGGATGAATTACATTAAATAAATTACACACTTGTTGAGTACGCACTCTGTCTGTAAAACCAATCATCATAAGTACTTCAATACGTTCTTTCTCAGATAAATGCATTTTTAAAACGCAAAACTTACAAAATGACACTAGCAAACTAAACGCCGGTGACAGTTTGGTTATTGTCACAAAGTAGGTATTACATCAAAATGGTTTAGGGGTCAACGAATGAAAAACAATTAATACGAAGAAAACTGTTTTGATTAAGACAAAATTTGGCATACTAGGTTGTTTTTGTTGACTTTTAAAAAAATGTTCAAGGTTGTCCAATTTAAACATTTTATTTAATTGTGTGTATTTCAAAATATCAATTTTCAAACGTCATTATTACAAAAACCGCTGATTTTTAAGATATGGTATGTTATACAAAAAATATTCAGAATTTACCGTACAATTCAAAAATGGCATAAAAAACAGGGCGTTCCATTAAAAAAATCAATGATGACTGCATCTGTTCTTCTTGAGACACCCTGTATACAATTTTCTTATGTCAAAAAATCCGCAACTAAAAATACCAATGGACGTGTCTGAGCGTTTTTCCACAAAATAATTACCTGAATTTTAAACGAATTTGTTCCTTTCATCATGAACGCACTGTCATTAAATTTATTTAAAATAAAATTAAAAACTTATCTGCTACACACAACACGAAATATACCTAATAATATTGAATACTGTATACTGCGCTGCCCATTAGACTTTCTTTTAAGCTGTTAATAAAATATATTCGCAATTTAAAGTGAAAATTTTGCATTTTTGTAGTTTTCGTTAGGCTTGTAGATATCTTTTTATAATTTTATCTTTTAATAAATTTAATAAATGAATTAGGCCATTCCTAACTTTTTTCTGTGTACTCTACTGCTTAGCTGATTGTCACTAAAAAATTTATAAAAATAGGATATTAAATACAATGCATTCATGAAAATGCCGAACAAATGATTGGAGTAGAAATTCTGCAATTTTATTGCAGGTAGAAGGAGGCATAGTTGTGAAAAAATGCAATTTTTCTTGGTCAATATTACTTGTCCCACCTATAACTAAAATATTAATTCTACATTACAAGAAATATTAATTCTTTAATAGCTGTTGGTACTGTATTGCTTCGATATATGAAAAAAATAATATATTAAATTTTAATTTATACTCATGTCATCTAATTCAGTGGTTCATTAATTTACCGGTCGTTAGTTTAGAGTAAATTTCATACAAAGGCTTTGTTATAACTTAGTTAATTTATGATAGTATAACAGAGGTCCAGTACCTACTGTTCTGTTCAACAATGTTAATTAAAATGTGCACTAATTAAGCGGTAAACATAATTATAATCCGTGAACTTAGGAAGCCTAGAGCAACTGATTTTTTGACGTTCTGCATCATATTACATTGGTAAACAGTATCATTTGGGTGATTTGCATGGCAGTATACAGGGTGATTCATTAACAATGGGAAAGTCGAAAGCTGAAGATAGTACACGTGAAATGGTGACCATTGGCGCAAACATGCTTTATCCGAAAGTTGATAGTTTCCGAAATACAGGGTGTTGAAAGTTAAACTTTTAAATCGTTTTTTGCGATTATTCTGAAAATATGTTGGTTAGGAACTTGAAATTTTGCGAAACTATATTTTTTTAGGCGTCGAATAAGATGCGTGTTGCAATTTCAGCATTGCTCATAGAGGGCGACACTTATGACCAATTTTACCGAAAATTTAGTTAATAACTTTTTACCCTGTACATATAACATGAAACTTGATTCAAAACCTGAAAGAGCAATCATTTTTCCATTAATTATGTACTCTTGTTTCATTTCGGTATCTCGATCCGTTTTCGAGAAAAATCGATTTAACGAACACTATGTTTTGATAATACGAGAAATTAAAAGCGAAACAAACCAAGTGTTTCTTCGTGTTATTACAACAATTAACAATAAAACAAATAAAATACGTAATTATGATTTAAAGTAATTGTTCGAAGAATCCACCGTTGACACTGATACACTTTACACGTTTTCTGAGAGATCTTCGAGTTTGAAACAACATATTGGGATTGCGTCTGACTTCGTTGGCAGCGATTTGTATTCTTTGCCACAACTCTTCACACGAGCCAATAGATTCTTTGTAAACTATATCTTTCATTCGAGACCAAATAGAAAAATCAAGAGGATTGAAGTCCGGACTTCTGGATGGCCAAGCAAAAATGCTTACATGGCCAATCCAGCGATTTGGAAAAACTGCATCTAAATATGCACGCACTGGCCAAGAAAAATGCGGTGGAGCTCCGTCGTGCATGAACCACATGTCTCTTCTTAAATAAAGTGGAACTTCTTCAAGCCGTGGAAGCATTTTTACTTGGCCACCCAGAAGTCCGGACTTCAATCCTCTTCATTTTTCTATTTGGAAGAATCTATTGGTTCGTGTGAAGAGTTGTGGCAAAGAATACAAATCGCTGCCAACGAAGTCAAACGCAATCCCAATATGTTGTTTCAAACTCGAAGATCTCTCAGAAAACGTTGTGTAAAGTGTGTAAATGTCAACGGTGGATTCTTCGAACACTGACTTTAAATCATTATTACGAATTTCATTTGTTTTATTGTTAATTGTTGTAATAACACGAAGAAACACTTGGTTTGTTTCGCTTTTAATTTCTCGTATTATCAAAACATAGTGTTCGTTAAATCGATTTTTCTCGAAAACGGATCGAGATACCGAAATGAAACAAGAATACACAATTAATGGAAAAATGATTGCTCTTTCAGGTTTTGAATCAAGTTTCATGTTAGACATACAGGGTAAAAAGTTATTAACTAAATTTTCGGTAAAATTGGTCGTAAGTGGCGCCCTCTATGAGCAATGCTGAAATTACAACACGCATCTTATTCGTCGCCTAAAAAAACATAGTTTCACAAATTTTCAAGTTCCTAACCTACATATTTTCAGAATAATCGCAAAAAAACGATTTAAAATTTTAACTTTCAACACCCTGTGTTTCCGAAACTATAAACTTTCGGATAAGGCATGTTTGCGCCAATGGTCACCATTTCACGTGTAGTATCTTCAGCTTACGATTTTCCCATTGTTAATTAATCACCCTGTATATTTCTTCTATGATTAGTCGTGTATGAGTTTACTTACCTACTTTAATTATGTACACTCGTCTACCAAATTGGTCCCTTTGTAGAAGCATATTCTGAGCTTGAAGATCAAACATCGTAGTACATTCTGAGGGCAAGGGACAGCTGAATAGTTCTGGGCACTTAAGTCTCATCAGGAAATACCTCTGTATCTGGAATTTTTAAGAAATAGTACCCAATTATTCGAGAACATGTTAACATTTTGACGAAAATTTAAAACAAAAACAAGTCGGTGATACCAATACCAACTTTACTAATACCTTTGACAGATTCAACCACGACATCTTGTACATACAAACTGAATAAGTTTGTTGTGCCTGACTCACTATTGTAACGTTTTCAATCACATTTACAAAATATGTATCAATTTGTTTAATGCCGTGATTTTAAGTTTCATAACTTTCATAAAAAATCTAGCGTGCTTCAAGGTTCTACACTTGGACCCTTACTTTATGTTTTGTTTATTAACGACATTATGGCTGACTAACAAGTACACAATTTAATTTATACAGACCACCTTAAATTCTTGTAGGACATAACTACCATTATCGATTATTACAGGTTGCAAAATGTACTTGATGTTATTAGTCTATGGTCTCAAAATAATAATTTAACCTTAAATTCTTCTAAATGTGATATCGTTACAATCACTAGAAGGAAATATTCAGTCGTACTTAATTATAAATTATATAATATAACACTACATTAGTAGCATGGAGCCCAATTTATGTTCAACAAATTGCACCTATGGGAACAGTACCTACAGGTTTGTGAAATCACCGGTATACGAACTACTGCAGTTTTCTGTCAGAATATGCTACTTGACGGTTTCAATATTCATGTCCTTGTGAAAAGGGGATATGTTTCTCGTTATGTTTTTATATAATGTTTTTCATAATATTTGGACTGTCCAGGTGTTTTAAGTAACATTCGAATAAAAGTACCACACCTATCAGCTAGAAGCAATAACGTTTAGTCTATCCACAGCACGCAGTAAGCAGTCATGTATGCTTCATATTGTTTGTTAACTTTTTGCTTTGTTCTTTATATCTGTGTTATTTATGTGTAAGTTCCTCTCCTCAACTTTTTATATTTATTTCTTCTTTTTTTTTGTTATATATTATAATAGACTTAACATATTCTGATACTAGGCATCTCTTGTTGTAACTGTATTTTTTTTAATAAATTGAAATATTAGTCAGATAATAATAGGCAAAAAAATTAATATAAACCTTAGTTTGTTTTGCGATATGTGATATTCGAGGTGAGGAAACATTGTGTCCATTTAGCGAAAATGCAAATAAAAATAGAAATAACAATTTTCCAACGAGGAAAATATAGTTTCTTTAAGAAACGGTTATGTTTGCACTCTGATGATGAAGTTGTTTGTTATTTTTCTTTTTATTTCATTCGTGCTAATAACAATGTTAGCCTATGTTTACATATTTTTTATGTTTAATTTATATTCACTTGTTATTTTGTTTTTTTATCAACCTCGTTCAGATTTAGCTTTTTAACGTGTCAACATATTCAATAAAATTCATTGAAAAACTGTTGTTCTTGTTGTGAAACAAATAGAAAGTTCAATCTTTAATATTTAGTCTAAAAAAGAAAATACGAAAATTTTACGGAAGTTTTTCTCCCATAAATATCAAACATTTACCAAGTATATACAAATATTTTCAAAAGCGTAGAAGTACACATCTCTCTAAAAGGGCTGACCCCTCATGTCTACGTCACTGGCAATTGAAATGCTGAATTAGTAGCTACTATAAAAAAAAGTTTCTATGAACTATATTGATTATTTTTATCTTAAAGTTTGTGCACTTGCGGCTGTGTCTGTGCTGTCAAATAGGTAAATACATTTTTTACAATGATGCTGCCTATAATGTATATGTCATCAAGACTCAATTTTTTTATTGTATATTTCCAGTAACACTGTACGTGCATAAAGTGAATTTCTTACTAGTTCCATAAGCTTTTAATGTTGGTGAATGTGTCTATAATAATATGTAAGGCCTTTTATAAACTATTAAGTCAAGTTTAGTTATTTTACATGCAAACTTCTTAAACTAAAATGTCTTTAAGCACCTACAAAAAGCAACCTCAACTACAACTTTACTTACCATGTGAAAGGCCTTCTTGCTGTCAAACTTCCTGGCCCTGAGGAACCGCAACAAAAACTGATCACTGTCTGGCACAGACAAATTAGGATCATCTGAAATGCAAGAAGACGTTATACAACGAAATAAACCTTATTTATTTCCGTTACTTTTAACCATAAGCCGCAGGGCTTCGAGTTCTCGCTTATAAACCTCTGGAGACTCATTTAACTCTTTCTCGGCTCTCTCTGCTGCCATTCTGTATCCATAAAGAGGGCTCCGTTGGGAGTTTTACTCACAACGCTGGCCAGAGCCTGACGGAATGGCGAGTTTCGTGCCATGTTGTTCTCCATCTTCGCATTTCTGGATTGATAAGTTTTTATTGATTAAATAAATGTACTACGCCGATATTCAAAAACTGTTATACAAACTCTTTAATTATGCATAGAAAATTCAAGAGGTAGTGCCAGACTCTCACTTGAAAAGTTTTTAACATACAGGGTGTTAATTAAGTATGTACAATAAATTCAACAGACGATTATTTGAGTGATTTTTAGACGAAAAGTTCACATAAACATTGGTCGCAGATCCCTCATTTTCGAGATAAGGTGTTAAACTTTTGTAAAAAAATTGCTATTTCGTAAATATCTTAAATACCCAATTTTAGACTTAACAAATCTAATCAAGTTAGGGCTAAACTGGCCCCTTAACACTACAAATAACACTACCAAATTACAACAAAATTGGGTAAAGGGTGTTTAACATATTTACGAAATAGCAATTTTTTTTACAAAAGTTTAACACCTTGTATCTTGAAAATGAAGCATCTGCGGACCAATTTTTATATGAACTTTTTTCTTAAAATCACTCAAATAATCGTCTGTTGAATTTATTGTACATACTTAAGTAACACCCTGTATATTTCAGATCTGCATGATTATTGAATTGAATGTATCATTAATTTGCTCAATAAAACGATATTACAGATTTTTTGAATATATGTATCCACCAAGCTGGAACAGGAGATTTAAAATTTCATTTTAATCAAAACATGTCCACGAAGATAGGTCTCAAAATAGTAAAAAAGTTGATAAAAGGAATTTGAGATTTAGTGAATTGCAAAGGAAAATCAAGACTTGATAATTGTACCTAACAAATATATTTCAAACAAAAAAAAAACCTAAGTGAATGAATGAAATCCCATTAGACTATTCTGGCATTTAAAAAAGAAATTATGAATTTAACAGTCTTAAAATGCCATTTGTATAGGTATACAAAAGAATAAAAAAATACAGATAGAATCCAATCTACAATTTGATATGAAAAACTTTATATCCATATAATGGAGATAACAAACATCACTAGTAAAACTTAGTGGCAATGTGAGATACAGACGTTTTACTTAGGTATGCTACATTTATAGAACATGAAAAATATAGCTATCGATTGTAAGATTATGTAAAAAGAAATCAAGGGATCAATATTAAATATGTACACTGCATAGGTATGAAGAAAGCTTATTAATTTTAAGGTAGCAATTCTGTGCTCAGGTGTACTATATGTATCTAATGATAGACAGAGCGTTTCATTAAAAATGAGAGATAACTTAATGGGACTTTTCCAAGATTAAAATAGGATGAATCTGCAACGTGTCAAAATGAAAACAAAATTCAAGTTCTGGCAAATCCATCAAGCTAAAAATTTGATTAAATATATTTTTTCGTACGAGAATTTCGAAAATAATATTCACTTCTTTGCTCATTGACAGAGGGCGCTAGTTGGACATTACTGGTGGACCAATTATGACCTAAACATTTTCGTTCCTCACTTATCTACAATTTAGGCAAAAAAACAATGAAAAGTATGCCAATTATGAATAAAAATGGTAAATTAGTTAAAAGTAAAAAAAACTAATAATTTTCAAGATAAAAGCAATTTTTCATATTACTGCATGTTAAATAGGTAGACACACTAAATTGAATCACGCAGTCTGTTGCAAACAATTTTATTTAAGTTCTGGTATATGTATTCTAATGCTTAAAAAATATTTACTTATAACTCGACGGCCGAAATTATAGATAGTGATTCATCGCTAGCTCTTGGACTAGTAAGGAGGATGAGGCGTGCGGGGATCGAAAATACATAGGCGTGTATACGTAAAAGGCAACAAGATGTAGAAAATATGGACAAAATATAATAAAACATAACATCTATTATTTTTAGAGGTTTTATCTAGAAAACTTCAAATATTTTAGTAACATTTTGTTTTTAAATTTTAAGTGTTTTCTATAAAACGATGCCCTCTTGGGCATCGATAACCCACCACCACCCGGCTTACGCCGCCGCAAAATATTGTAATGTTTACTAATAATATATTTATTTAAGTAGGTACTTACATATTTTATAATAATTATCTCACGAATATTATCACTGTCACACTTTCACTTCACTGCCACATAATCACTTCACTATTAATATATTTAAATACTTACATATCACATTATTCACATTATATATTTCACATATCACTGTTGCTATCACTATCACTAGAATCATCTTCACCCAAATGAATAATGACTGGTTCTATGAACACTTCTACCGTTGTATCAAGATCCCACATACGTTGTTCCTCTTTCTGTGCATGTCCAATACACTTACACCATGTTTCAGCAGTGACGTGATTAATAGCATCCTGTAATAATAATTTCACGTCGTTTATTTTAAAGGTGGTGTTTTTTCGTGCGATTTCATTCTTTATTTGTGCCCAAACCAACTCAATTGGGTTTAATTCACAGTGGTATGGCGGTAAACGGAGTACACGAATTCCTCGATCTTTGGCCATCTCATCCACTACATACTTAATGTATTGACCTTTTTCTCTTTGGACAATTTTTAATAATTGTACTTTTAGCATGGTTTCTGTATATTCAATATTTTTCGATTGTAACCAGTCCATAATATTTCCTTTTCTCCATGCTGATGTCGGTAACATTTCAACTCTTCTACTATGATAAGGTGCGTTATCCATCACAACAACTGCTCCTGGCTCCAGATATGATAAAACATATTCAAACCATTTTTCAAACACGTCGCTGTTCATATCTTCATGATAATCTCCCGTTTTTCGTGACTCAAATACATGCAAACCATTTTCTAAAAATCCCGTATCGCTTCCAATATGTGTTATAATCAATCTTCGTCCTTTTCCAGAAGGTGCCTTTAATCCAGTAGAAAATCCATCTAAAAATGCTTGTCTCTTACTCTTAACATTACCATCCTGCCAAACTTTTGATACAGTATGACCTTCGTTTACCCATGTTTCATCCATGTAATATATCTTCTTACCAGATGCACGAAGTTCTCTTATTTTTTCTAAGTATTCTCTTCGCCATACCACAATTTCGTCTTTTTCAACGAGCATACTATTCCGATTCCGTTTCAAATATCGAAAATTCATGTCACGCATTATTCTTCTAAGAACCTTATCAGAGAAATTAGGAATATCCTCATCTTCAGCTATTGCAGCTTGAATTTTCTTTATCGTTGGTATTTCATTTCTAAAGAAAAATCCATGAATTTTCCTACGTATGGAGTATTTCACGTCAACGTCGACTTCTATTTTCTTCCTCCCTCGTGTTTCCACTTTTTTCTTCTTTGGATTCACTTCTACACTATTTTTTATGGCACGATAAACAGTAGCAACGGATACTTTTGTCAACGAACTACACATATCAACAGCTTCACTTACACTTGTATTAGAATTTCGCGACCGAATTCCTTTATACACGTTTTTTACCATTATTAATTCCGCATCGCATAGGTTAGGGCGTTTATGAGCAACAGACCGTTTGCTACAACCGGCACTTTGATCCATTTTAATTATTATTCCTACGTTTTAAAACGTCCCGATTGTATTTTTTTAATTTATAAATTTACTATAGTCACGGAATATGCAAACCCTCGCGCGCGCTTATAGTTTGACGTTTCTAACTACGGCTAACTCGAATTCTACGTACGTCCGTTTACACCCACTAAAAAGAGCATTTCCCTATCTGTAATAAGTGCGATAGACAGAGATAGGAAATAAATCGCGTTCAGTGTAACTCAGTCTATGACTGTTATAGATCCTATCGATGTGCAAAGAGAGCGGCACATCATTTAACATAAGCAAATAATATTGAACCGTTATAAAAATCATTTTAAGTATTATACACTTTACGGTAATAGTGTTTCTATATTATGTATGAATCACTATCTATATTTTCGGCCGTCGAGTATAGATATCTTAATTGACGTAACCTGCCACTATAATTTTTTTAACATCACGACAATTGTTAATGGTGCTTTTACTAATACGACAAAAAAAAATAGGATCGGGGCCTTGTATGTTCTGGAAACTAAATAGTATGTAACCTAAACCAAAACCACTGCAAAAGTGATTACCAATAAACCAGATTGAGTGAAATAGTTTAAAGCACGATGTTTTTTTGGGTTGTTCCGTTGTTTCTGGTCCCTGTCAGTTACAGGCTGTTAGAACCCCTAGGTGTGTCCTGACGTTAATTTCAGTTGTTGCTGTTGATTTTAAGGCAGCTGCGGTCGGAATCGTCCTTCAGACAATGATGGCCTCCTGAGACATTCCATAATGGTCTGTCTAACTGCAGTCAGTTATACAGAGTCTTTTTCGATGTTACTTTTATTTTTTGAAAAAACGTCATGACTAACTAGATATTTGGAAAAATCCGAATTCGACCAATTTCTTCAAATGCGTTCAGCTCCGTTGCTATTTATTAAAAAATAAATAAATTACAAAGTTTTAGGTTTTTGCAGTGTTAATAAGACAGCAACCTGAAACTTTGTAATTTAATTTTTTTTGTAAAATAAATAGCAACGGAGTTACACGCATCTCAAATTTTCCAATTATCGAGTCAGCCATGACGTTTTTTAGAAGTAACATTTAATAAGGATCATAAAACTGCACATCTTTCCTCATTTAAACTTTTTTGCATCTCTGCTACTTTCCCAGATCCCTACACTAAACATGGAAATAACTCACCCTGTATATACAATATGTCCACGGATTGAGTTTACATGAGGACAAATGGACCAAAAAGTGAAAGATACGGAAAAAATGCATTGTTGATAAAAGTTTTTGCTTGTTTAGAAAATACGAATCACCATGACGAACTTCAATTTTGTTGTACAGGGTGTGTCAAAAACACAAAAATGTTATTTTACGTAAAACATACCTTATTTTGCAAGATACGAAAAAAGGGATTCTTGATAAATGTTTTTACTTGAAAAATGAATAAGAGTCACGTGATCAAAAATTTAATTAAGTATTCTCTAGCACACCTCTAATCAGAGTACCTACTAATTCCTAAAATAATAATGACACTTAAAGGATATATTATATATTTTTAACTTAATTGTTGTTGTAATTATGTTCGTTTTATTTAAAAATTATACTTGAATAAGATGCATTTCAGTTTTGTACATTGTTCCCTGTATAAAAAATAACATTTTTGATGATGTGACTTTTATTCATGTTTCAAGCAAAAACTTTTATCAAGAATACCTTTTTTCGTATCTTGCAAAATAAGTTATGTTTACCCTTATGCAAAATAACATTTTTCTGTTTTGTATCCACCCTATACAATAGAATTGAAGTTTGTCATTGTGATTCGTATTTTCTAAACAAAAAAAACTAATCAAGAATGCCTTTTTTTTCGTATCTTGCAAAATAAGGTATGTTTACTCTTACATTTTTGTGTTTTTGAGCCACCCTGTACAACAAAGTTGAAGTTCGTTATGGTGATTGGTATTTTCTAAACAAGCAAAAACTTTTCCCAAAGATCCCAAAAAAGATCTTAGATCTCAAAAATATCTTAGATCTCTTTAAATGCTAGACAAATATCCTTATATTAAGTAACTTTTTTTTAAATTTAATACTTCATTGGCATCATCAGCCTCAGTTGAAAGAATGTTCTCGTTTGCTACTTTTATTAATGCCCCCAGGCGAAGTACACTTTCCGATAAAAATTTTGAAAATTTAGTTCTACTTAAGGCAAATTCATTATGTACATAAGAATAATGTGTAAATTTACTGATTGTTAGAAAATATTTTTTGAGTTGAGTTGATAATATTATTTTGTGTATGTATATAGTATACTATAGTAAATGTTAAATATTTGACTATAGTTTCATTTCAGTATCTAATGCAGTGACATTCCAACAATTGGTTAGGTACTTCCATTAAAAATTTATTTGCCAGCATGTGTTCTATTAAAATAAATATTTTGTCTAACATAAATTCCAATAACTAACAATGGCCCAATTTATTGAAACTTAAGATCTTATGTTTTCTAAATGATCTGAGAAGTTACCTACTTTTTTAATCTTAGATCTCCTCCAACGATCTAAGATATTTTTTGATCTTAGATCACATTTAATGAGCTAAAATACGGATCTTTGTAAAAAGATCTTTTATAAAAGTATCTTGTATCTGAGATCTTTCTAATGTCAAATGATCTTTTTTAAAATTATCTATAGATACTTTTCAAAAAAGATCTAATATCTTTGATCTAGATCCTTTTTATAAGGATCTTTTCCAGCTCTGCCCTCTTGTAAACTCAATCCGCGAACATACTGTATAGACCACGGTGTAATAACCAGAGAAACCATCGTATTTTAAACATCAGCACGAGCTGTGAAAATCTTAAAACCACCACATGAAATATATTCATTTCATTATAAATGTGAATGGGATAACTAAAATAATTAAAATAAAGCAGCAAAATTTCGATTTAAGTTGCCAAAACTGGACAGACCTACAAGTCATCTCTTTCAGTAATGAAATAACTTTTTTTGTAGTTTTTGTTTCGACTTGATAAAAAAATTAGTTTTAAATTTTAAATTAATTTGCACCTTATTTAAAATCTTTTAACAAATTAATGTTCCTGTTTAACGTATAATGAAAAAAATAAAATTACGTTTATCTATAAATGTATTCGATTTTCTGAAGCTCAACTAATTTATACCATTTTTACTCAAATTTAAGTAAACCCACTTTTTGTTTTTATAGCCGACTTAACCTACATATGAATAACTAAAAAAAAACTATCATAGGTACCTATTTCACCAGGACGTTGTAGTTAGCGCCCTCTACTGGTGAAGATAAAGATGACATTTTTAAAATTCTCTCCCTAGTTCAAGTTCATCATTTTTCAACTTGATTGAATATTGTTAAAATACGATTTTTTTCATTATAATTTTACAACCTATAAATTGAACGACATTTAATTAAGGCATGTTTAGCCCAGATGCCCTATTTTACCTCAGAATAAAGAACCACTTTAATTATTTTTTTAAACGTCTGTAAGTAAATCTATTAGGTTATATTTTTTAAGCATTACATTACATTTACATATCAATGGATTCTCATCAACTATATTTCTAAATTTTTCTAGTACTTACCTAGTTTTTGATTTATGAATATTGATGATGCTTCTTAAGGGTGTTAATAATAATAACTATGTAACTTTATATTACTTCACGTAGATACCTTACATATTTTTATATTTGTTACTTTTACAGAACTATTAGAGATATAAACAGATTCAGCAGCAATCAGAAAGAAATTGCATGTTGTCAGATGTGCTAAATGAATAAAATATTGAATAATACATTTAGATGAATTAGTAATATGAAGGTAACTGCACAGAATCGATAGAGGAAAAATTAGGATAACTTGATGAACAGAATAAGTATTTTATAAATTCGTCAGCTAAATTTGAACTCATGTTTTAAAAACCTTCTTACGGCTCTTTTACGGCATTTAAATTATCGACGTTAACTTAAATATTAAATAAAATAAACCCCAATCAATCGCATGCAAGTCAATACGGCCTCTAGTGATGCGCGCAAATTTCTACTCACCCAAAACAAGATTCCTCACACAAGATGCACTCTACTCATTTCCAGTAATTGTATATGATTTTTTAAAATAAATTTTTAGCTGGATATAAACACAAAGTTGAAGGTTAACGAAATATCGACTTTATCAGCCCTCGTGTCGATGGTGTAGCACATGCGTAAATGTAACTAGTGCCTAACTGGGTCCTAAACCACAGATTTAATATCAGGATATTTATTTATAAATTTATATGTCGTCTGATTGACCTGAAATGGTTTCCATGTCCCAAAACGATATTGATTGGTCATTGTTTGGAGCAAGTTCCACAGGGGATGAAACATGTAATTGAATTGATTACCAAATCTAAAAATAAAAGGGTTCAGTTTGAAACAAATTACTGAATAATATTATATACCTATTAGAAAAATGTGACATGCTTTGTAAATATTTCAGTTTTTATATTCATCTCTAGCTCTAACTGAAATACCGACAACTTAAAATTACAAAATATCATTTCAAAATTCAATAAAGTATTGTGTTAAATATAAATAAAAGTATTTAGAGCAATACATTTTGAATACTTAGGAAAAGGTAGGGCAAAGTGATAATATTTAGCAGTTTTGTCACTTCAGAAGTACCTGCTAAATTGTGTTTACAACATTTTTTAATACAATATTATTTTTTATATAAAACCGTTTTTCCGTAAATCGTCAGAGTAAATATAAGCAGGTTATCCGGTAATGAATAGGCCACTCTTGAAGGGATCAAGTTACCTTAATATAATTTGCTTCCTAAAAAAATTATGACTCTTAAAAAACATTCTTGTCTCAGTTTTTAAGATCTTTAAGATGCATCACTTTTAAATATATGTATTTCAATAAAATTTTTTATAGGGAGATTTTCGGGATAGTTAAATATGAATATGAGCTTATTGTTTGCCAAAAACATTGAAGTTGCTAAGAAGTCTTGTTTTCTGCCATATTTCTTTTGCTGGTAGAAATTTTAAGACAACGCAGATTTTTTTAAATGACACGTTATTTAGATACTTTAAAAAATATATACTTGCCAGTGTCTAAAATGTATGGCTGCAGAGAAAAAAAAAATTCAATTTTTACTGAACGCATAAATTAAGCTTCAATTTTTTGATAAATTTGCAACTAAATTCTATATTTTTTTTGTGATTTGGACCAATCTGCGTCTATGAAAAAGTCAGTATCTATTGACAATGAGATGTAGGCTTTTGAATGTGATACTGTAACGTTAAATTTACCAGGACCGTATCCCAGTACCTAGAAATTGACTTTTGAGTGGGGAAAATTGGTTTTAATTATATAAAATATTTAATCTAGTTGGTTTAAATCATATAAAATATTTAATTTAGTTTAATAATTATGAATGCAGTAAAAGATTAAAAATAATTTTTCTCTTCTCTTTGTTTTAGGTAAAAAATATGTTATATTCATATTATGCTATCTTAAAAGTGAAGAGTTGTCATAAGAAAGTTAAGCAAACATTTTTTTCTGTAGGCCTACAACATTTTATGGAAACAAAATTGTACTAAGGTGACTTGACCTAAATCGGTTTAGCCAAGAAATCTACCCTTGAGATATGCCCCATTCGTTTCTGGACATCCCTATTCACTTAGTTGGTTTTATTTTCTGCATTACCTACTCTTTTTCTGTCTATAAAATAAGAATACATTTAATTATTTTTTTAATTTAAAAGTAGGTATATCAACAGACTTTTTACCCAAATTTACACTGTGCTCTCTAGTATGTTTCTAAGTCATAATAAGAAAGTTGTAAATAATGTATTAGTGTATGAATCAATCAAGGAACATATTTACCATATAACACCTAGCAAAAAACTAATCCTTTTTATCTTGATACGTTTTTTATTTTATAAACAATAATTGAATCGGAGAGTTCGAAAACCGTACAAGTCCAAAATTGGACATTTTAAATGAAGATAGATAGTCATGTTGTAGGTATAAAATATATTCCCTCGCCGAGTGAGAATGAAAATCATGCAAGATACTTAACCATTAACGGCAAGTATTTAGCAGGTCATAATCATATCAGAAGTGTCATATACATCATTGGATGTATTTAAATAATCAGTAGTGTAAGGTAAGGTATTAGGAAAATATATGACTATGTGTTTAGAGAGGGTATATAAATTTTCAGTCTTTTTGTTATACATTGGTCGCGTTCAGTCGTGGCCGCTGGGCGCAGGGGTGCTTCGATCGTAGTAATTTTGGCGTCGTTTGTATAGACTGGCCCGATAAGTCCACGGGTCAATGGGTAAGAAAATGGTGAACCTCTACATTTTGGCATTTTTATGAGACTGTATCGATGATTAATAAGTTTTTCATGGCACATAGGATAGGGAGAGAGTTTACGTGCAGGGCGCCAAATCAATATATGTACGATTTTCATAGTCAAAAGTAAAGCGAAAATTTTGTAATAATGATTTGGTAGGGTATTGTTGATATGCCGATAAGTGTGTAGTTGAGGCGACTGTGGTCTTTTTGGCGGTTTTCAGAGATTTTTTGTGATTATTGAAGTAGGTGGTGAAAATATGTACAGCTGTATTTAATATTGTTTTATCGTTTTCGCGCTAAAAGGCGATTTTCAATTTTTGGCAGATTTTTTTTTGCACTAGATACCTATCGCAAAATTTAAATATTTATACAGGCATTTTATTAAATATGTACATTAGAGTGGGTAAAAAAAATCGACTATTTTTTTTTACTTTATACTCTGAAAAATAGGTTGCTAGACACCTCTAAAAAATTCTCTCCAAATATGAACTCTTAATTTTAATAGGAAGGTCCTCCGCTTTACAGTTTTCCATTTTTTCCTCAGTATTAGAAAAAAATTCATATCTCTCTATCAACTGTTCGTTAAAAATATCTCTCCCCATATACCTGTAGGAAATTGAACGCTCTACAAAATAGGTCTCTTACAATTTTTTCGTAAACCTCACCGTTTAAAAGATATTAAAGGTTGAAGTTTGATTATTTTAAGACAAATTTCTCGTTTGCTTATGAATTTTATAACTCGTTAACAAAAAATCATTATGAAATGCGCAATTCATAGTTTTCTAGGAAATTAACTGCTCTACAAAAATGGTCTCTTATGATTAGTCAATTAAATAAAGCCTTTAAAAGATATTCATCGTCAAACTTCAATGCACGCCAATTTTAACAGTTTTTGATTAATAATTCGGAAAATTTCAATTTAGTTTATGAGTTTCAGGGAAATTTATACAAATTTCAGTTTCTCTGAACAGAGAAATGTTTAAACTATTTTTCTATATGTTTTTTAGTCGTAAGCATGTTTGGTTACATCGAAAAAAATATTTCTGATGGAGAGTCAATGATTCATTAAATCTTGAAAAAATTTTCGTTTTTGTTAGAAATTTGTTATGAAAAGTATTAATCTTAAAGAAAAAAAATTTTCAATTTGTTATTAAAAAGTTTTTTATTTAATTATCAAGTGTTATAAAATTTCAAACATTTTGGTTTTGTGCTGATTTTTTTTTAAACTTTTTTGTAATTTTAACCATTGAGTATGATAGCGAAGAATTTTTTTGACTGCATTAGGAGCTCCACTAGAAACTCAAATTTGTATAAATTACCCTGAAACTCCTAAATTGAAATTTTCCGAATTATTTAATCAAAAACTGTTAAAATTGGCGTGCATTGAAGTTTGGCGATGATTATCTTTTAAATGTTTTATTTAATCGACTAATCATAAGAGACCATTTTTTGTAGAGCAGTTAATTTTCTACAACACTATGAATTGCGCATTTCATAATGATTTTTTGTTTGGAGATAATTTTCTATAACCTATTTTTCAGAGTATAAAGTAAATAAAAAAATAATCGATTTTTTTTACCCACGCTAATGTACATGCCATAGTAAGTATTTGTATAAATAGATAAATAATTTCACTGTTGAGGTGTTTTACTTTATCCACGACATCACTGTTCATTTCTGATAGGTATGTCAAAAGTTTATTATTAGGTGGTGAATTCTGTACTTTTTATTTATTTTTCACTAAAAAGGAATCTTTTTAGATTTAAAACTTGTATTTGTGACGACAATTAATGGCAGTGTCAATAAAAAAATCCATAGTTTTCTCAAAAAACTGTAGCAAGTCATGAAATGCCAACTGAATCATCGCAATTGGTTTAGAAATTACATCTAATAGGCCAGTGAACACAGAGTGACCCAATAAAAACTCCCATAATCATTTTCTCTGGAACTATTTCCACATTTTATTAAAATTGTTTGTAACCTAAGTACATTAAAATATTTAAGTACCTAGTGAGTTAATTCTAAAAAAAAGTTTATACAGGGTGTTTCAAAAAGGTGTTGCCAAACTTGAGGGGGTTGTAAGTTGACAGCACAGACAGTGGTCATTGAGGCTGAGGTTTGGATCGAACTAAAGAACAACCTACTACAAGTCGTTTTAAACAATTATTATAAATTTATTATTTTTGCGTTACATTTAATAAAAATTACTTAAATATCGAACCCCTTTAGAGTCAACATAATAACATTACGTCTTTGGACAAAAATTGCTACAGGGCCAAAACTGCTCATTTCCGACTAGGGGTTTATATACAACATTTTTCTTCCGCAATGCCTTCTATATCCCCTTAAGTTTGGCAACACCATTTCGAAACGCCCTGTCCGGAAATGCTACGTTTCTGAAATACAGGGTGTTGAAATTAAAATTAAACAAAATCATTATTACAACAGCTGCTGAAAATGGCTACCTCCGACATTAACACAAGCTTTTGCCCTCCTCACCAAAGAATCCCGTACCCATTGGAAAATATACTTTTGAACATAATATTCTCAACAACTTCATTTAACGCCTAAGGGACTCAACAAATTGTATCTTTGCGGAAAGAACCCTGCACAAAACATATGGAAATTGAACAGCGGTCAATTTTTATGAAACTTCATATTTTGATAGCCCTCGTCATGCTGATCAAAAGTCTTAATGAGCACGAAGCCTTCCAACCCCCTAAAACCACCCCCAAAGATCAGGGTAATGAACTTGACAGATTATAGGTCAATTGGCTTACCGTCATATTTCACTACTGTAATCGAACCTACAGACACCTATACCATAACTAGGCTTAAGACTATCAATAGGCACCGAGCCCTACAACCCCCACCAACCCCCCAAGGGTCAGGGGGATGCACTTGACAGATTATCGGTCATTAAAACTACCGAAATATTTTATTATTGCAGTCAAATCTACAGCCAGGGTTTCACATCCCACAATCAGTAAAAAAATCTTATGGCAGGTTTTGGTACTTTTTGTGGGTTAAAGGGTATTAAACAATAAGATGGGTGAAGTATGCAATTCAAGATTGAACGGTTTCATAAGCCGTAAGCAGGGAAAAGTCATGTCAGGCTTCGATAAGAACTGGGGTTGGTCTGACCCCAACCGTAGGATTTGGGTTGGGGGTGGGTGGTTCAATTGTCGGGGGTTGGCATCAGAGAGTATAGAGTAGTGATCGTTAGATGGCTGTGAGATAGAATTCACGATTAAACAGTTATACAACCAGTAAGCAGGAAAAAGTCACATGACAGGCTTTGGTACTTGGTCGGGAGGGAGAAGGATGGGGGGTTAAGTGTTTTGGAGATAGTAGTCATAAGCCTAGTTAGTTACAGTTTGGGTGGCTGTAGGTTCGACTGCAGTAGTAAAATATTTTGGTAGTTTTATTGACCGATAATCTGTCAAGTGCATCCCCTCGATTTTTGGGGGTGGTTTTGGGGAGTTGGTGGAGGTTGTAGAGCTCGGTGCCCATTGATAGTCTTCAACCTAGTTATGGTATATGTATCTGTAGGTTCAACTACAGTAGTGAAATATTACGGCATGCCAATTGACTTGTAATCTGTCAAGTTCATTACCCTGATCTTTGGTGGTGGTATTGGGGAGTTGGAAGGGGCTGTAGCGCTTCATGCTCATTGAGACTTTTGATCAGAGGACTATCAAAATACGAAGTTTCATAGAAGTTGACTAGTGTTCAATTTCCATGTTTTGTACGGTGTTCTTTGCAAATTCCTCGAAAACGGTGGCTACTAGCGTTGTTAAGGAAGTGTATCTTTTTTGTTTAAAAAAGGAATATGGTTTAAAATCGCAGAAGTCTTCCGTCAAAGAAGTTGTGGCAAATTAAATTAATAATGACAGCGTACGTAGGCCCTCTATGTGCTGCACAAAAATTAATACCAAATTATGATTCCTCACCTCAATTACCCGTTACCAAATTTTGTGAGAAAAAGTTATTTAAGAAAATCGAAAATAAAATTTTATTTTCAACACCATGTATCTCAGAAACGAAGTATTTCCGGACGAAGGTTTATATAAACCTTTTTTCTTAGAATTAACTCAGGAATAACTCACTTAAATATTTTAACGTACTTAGGTTACACCCTTCGGAAAACTTTAAAAAAGTGATTTTAAAAGAGAATAGTTTTTTTTACCCGATCAATATTTGCCCTTTTTACTAAATTTATTTAAATAATATACTTTTACAATAAAGTAAAAATATGAAAGATTATAATAAAATACACATTTGTAATAATTATATAATTTTTGGTTGACATTGATTTTTGTATTTATCTACGCAGCTTTCCGATACAGTTTTTTATTGGCAGATCAGGTTATCAAAACACAAAATATAAAAAATCAAATATATTAACTGTAAAACCATGAATCAAAATAAGTACATAATCAATATAAAAATTTATTATTTACAATTCAGGTGTCACTCTTAGAATGCGAGTAATCACTTAAACTACGAAAGGACGTTTTACCCGACTTACTGGAATGTTTCTGAGACTCATCTCTAACAGAAGATAAATCAGAATCCTCTGAAAATGCCACCCTTTTCCCAGACCTCTCTGTACTCTTACTACTGATTATCGGCGTGGAAGTCTTCTGATTACTTTTGTCGGCATTAGAGTTATTGGCTTGGATCGAAGACAGCTCCGAAAAGCTGGCGGGGCTTGCGTCCGACTTCAGAGTACTAGAAGAGATCCTGATTTGCTTCTTCAAATACTGCCTCAAGCTAACCTCGCTTCCACTTGAGCTGTTACTCAATATTTGTTTCTTTGCGCTGAGTTCCAGTGAACTAGAGCTGGACGTTAAAGCTAAGGCTTCCTTTGTTTTATGCAATGTCGGAATAGCCCATTCCATGCCGATACTCTTCAACATTGATTCGATTGTTTCCATGTCATCGCTCGAACTTGAAGATATTTTAATGGACTTCTTAGATGTGGACGAGTTGCTACTTGTTAAGATTATCGACGGATTGCTTCCATCTGATACGGGGGATGGTGGCGTTGTCTTACTTTTCTCAATAAGTTTTTCTTGAGTTGCCACAATTTCTGAACATGGGGCTCTACAACTATCGTCACACTTTTGTTTAGACGTCAAAGAAACTTTAGGCACTTGGACTGGCAAACTCCTGTTGGACTTCGACGAATGCTTACTTGATGTACTATTTCCTGTAATGGCAGACTCAGCGTCGGGCCGCATTACAAGTTCAAAATCTTTTCGAGGAGAAACATCCTGAGAAGTTCTAGAGTTATTTGCACTACCTATCTTGGTGGAAATTTGACTGTCCGCTTCAACGATCGTCGATAATTCATGAGGAACCAGCGAAATATTTCCATTAAATTTCTTTGCCACCGATAGGCCCCTAGAAGGAGGTGGACGTTTATGTGAAGAGGAACTTGAATCGACTTTGGAGGTTTCAGGTTGGACTTCTAATTTAGGAAGTTTAGGAATGTCAGATAGAAATGGGACGAATGATATATTATCTTTGGTGGTTTGATGAGGGACACTTGAAACTTCTGGAACATTTTGTTCCTTCTGTTGCATCAAATGCTGCAGTCTTGACCAAAGTTCTGTATTAGTCTTGTTTCCTTCATCAGTACTAGGTTTAGACGAACCTGCAATTAAAGTATAAAAAAATAGAAAAATTAAAATATCAAAATTCATCTAAAAACGTTTGACTTTTTTAATATTCAAAACAAAATTAATGGCAGTAAATTATAATTCTTGTATAGACGTAATTTTTCCTAAATAAAACAAAAACTTGAAATATTCAAAAAAATCTTGGGATAAGACAAAATTTATTGACATTTTTAACACAACTTTTTAATTTCTATATGCCTGAGAAGTATACAGGGTGATTAATTAATAATTGTACATATACTAATTGGATAATCATGGGCTGAAAATATGAAGAATTGACACATAACGTTTAGATAAAATATGGCTTATTGCGGAGTTATAGGGTGTTTTATTTGTAACAAAAGCCGGGACGTGTGGTAGTTTATTTGTTAATTCTCAGAACTCAGACAGTAAAATATTTCAATCAACACTAATTATTGAAAAGTTAAGGGTTTTTAAGTAGGTTTAGCGTCGCCATAAAGTCGTCGAGAGACTAGTGCCTTGTGTCATCGGGAATAATAAATTTGCAAAGCTGTCCTTCGGAGAAGACCTCATGAAATTTATCAATGACTTTGAACAAGTTCACTTAGACTGTCGGGGCCATGTGTTGAGCATCTGGTATCAACGTTTAGCCGATGGTGAAGGGAAAAAAATCGATATTTCTAATAACGTGCAAAATACATTCGAAAAGATGTAAGAACTCCAAGATACTCAAATAAATTGTTAGAATGTTGTGAGGAAAATAATAATGGATCAAATAGCTGGTTTTTAGGTGGATTTTCCACGCTAGAAGAATAGATTAAATCAGACTGACTAATCCGGTCCCGTGTTGTTATACGGAGTCATGAGAGGAAGGTGTATGGTTACTTGTAAGTTCAGTTTAGTCACAAAATTATTTATACAATTGTAAATTCAGTCAATTAGATAACTATTAACATAGTATAGTTATGCCAAAGCGTCCCGATATTCAAGGATCCCGGCAGTAATATAAGAACCGAAACTTCGATGTCGAGAAAGTATATCTTTTTTATGTAAAAATTGTCCACGGAATCTAAAAATGAATCTCAAATGATTATTAGGTCATTGGCGTAGAAGTTGGGGTAAAAAAATCCCGCTTGACTACCCATTCCTATGCCACTGACCTACAAAAATTAGTAAATTTTACAGAAAAAAATAACACCACACCATTTGAATCGATTTGTTATCAGTTTAGAAAGGATTTCATAAATAATATGATTTTAATAACCGACCAATACGGCCCTGTACAGTGAAAATAATGTGACACTTATGGTACGCACATAACGGGGACCCTCGCCTGGGACTATTGCTCCAATCAAAGCACGGTACCTTCAACCCTCACTACGACCCCCGCGCACGGATATAACGGCGCGCCGACCATCGCTCTGACCCTAGCATGGCCCCGTACGCCCCGATGTATGCATTTTCAAGTCAGTTAATTATGAACGAATAGCGGATTAACATGAATTTTACTTTAAATAATAACACGTCTTCTTCATTCGATGAAGACATTTTATTGGATTCAAGTGCTAAAACACTATGGTCGAGGGTCAGGAAAATACTAAACTAGGTTCTATGGTGCCAGGCCTTGGCTCAGACCTATGCGCGGAGCGAGGGGCGATGCTCCGATATGACCATCTTCGTTTATAACCATGTAGTTATTCTTTTTTCTGAGCGAAGCTAGGGTACCATGCTAGGGTCGGAGCGATGGTTGGCGCTCCGTTATGTTTGCCCACTTAGACCCTTGCCTTGTAAGGCAATTCTGAATTATTTATTGAGTTCTATTTGTGGTTAAAGTTTGATTCACTCGAACTGAAACACCCTGTATAATTCTTTGTCTATCTATAGTTTTTTCTTAAAATGAGGTTTTATAGAAAACTGTTAAAAAAACCTGACTCAAACTGTATATTTGATAATGTGCTACTTTTTACTTTACAGACAATAGAACTTGATTTTATCAAAATCGATATTGATAATCTACCACTGAGAAACTAACGACAAGGCTTAGGGCATACAATAGTATATTGTGCAATATGTGCGGTAAGTTGTCTATGGCCCACGAGAGCGGAATTGAGCACATGAACGAAGTGCTCATCCATTCAAGTGGGCAATAGACAACCACACGAATTGCACATATTATTTTTTATTACGAATGTGGTGAAATCTTAGGGTCCAGGGGTGAAGCCCTGTTGGAGTCTACAGATTTTTATTCAGCTTAGGTTGACATAAATAACTATCAACTGTGATTTAAATGTCACTTTTTAGAAATAATATTTTTATTACTCATGCGGGATAAGTCCTATCTTAGCCCTTTTCTTTTATTCATAATTTCGGAATCATAATGTGTTACGACCCGATGGAAACCAAACAGATTGCTAGATTTCAGATCGTAGCATTATGATTCTAAAATCATGAATAAAAGAAATGAGCTCTTTTCACTTGTTTTTTAGTTTGCTCTCTGCTTCCCTCACCACCACCACCCGTACGAATTTCTTGAATTTTTCACTTGCATAAATAACTTTAAACATGTTTTAAAGTAGGTTGCCAATGAAGAAAAGTATTGCAAACTTAGACCTGATAAGTACTTGGAATACCAAAGGTATTTTTCGAAAAATTAACCCGAATGTCCCAGTACATTTTGTGTAAATGACAGTTAACTTTGATCGGCATAACTACATAATTAATTGACCAATCGATCTGTTTTTTCGTTAAAGACGCGTCTTTCCAAGAACTTTTAAAACCTATTAACTAAACCTGCTTTAAAAAATATTTGACTTGGTTGAATATTCACAAAGTTATTCTAATTGTTTATAAGTACAAAAATTCGATCAATGTTTAAACAAGCGCTAGAGCTCTCCTAATATACAGATTCAAATTTTTCAAAAAGCGTTTGAAAGCTTGAGAGCCCTTCTATATGTCATTAAATTTTTAAGTATCTAAGGGCCTTGGTTTTTGCTGTGCAAAATTTTGAAAATTTGCAATTCTTTTTCAAAATTTGGATTGCAAAATTATTATGCAAAATCTATAGAACCGATTTTAATGAAATTTGGTGTGATGATTCTACATAACATGAAGTTTTCTTGAGCCAAGTATGAAGGTTCTGTACTCAATTTAAAGACCCCAAAAAAATTCCCTAAAAAGTAATATTTTTTAACTCCATTGTTGGCGATTTTTTCGATTTTTACAATAAATCATGATTCATTCGATTTGTAACTAGTGATATTTTGCAAAAAATTTAATTACAAACATTTTTTCCCTCTACCATTTTCGCCTAAAATCATCTTGAAAAGATACATAATTAAATAGGAAGAAAAATATGACATTTTTTGATTTTTTTTAACATATGCCAAAGCCCACGTTTTTTTTTTGTGCATAGAAAAATTTTCATTTCATAAGGACTTTTTGAAAGAGATTACTGTCTGGACTATAACTACATAAAAGAAATTCAATTTTTTTAGTGAGACATCTTCATTACCAAATAAATTTAAATTAAAAGGAAAAAACATACCTTCTCTTTCATTTTCTCCAACGTTCCCATCAGATGCTTTGTCATCTTTAGTCGAGGTGAATTTTCTCAACTTCTCTGCTAAATTGAAATCAATATCCAGTAGTCTCCTTTGCAATTCTTCATCATCCAAACTATTTACCGATGAATATTTACTGCTGCTATCATTAGACCCTGGCAAATCCAAATAAGCTGTCGAGTAATCTTTATCCAGTGTGCCTATTTTATCTGCTGTTTCCGCAGCTGGAGGATTCTGCAACATCTGGATCTTTTCTTCTCTAATCTGCTCAATCATAGATGCCAGCTGTGCTATTCGTCTGCTACACGAATCCGTGATTTCGGCATACTGCGCAAGTACGGAGTCTTTAGATTTAGCAGAAGACGAACTTGCATCTCGGTCTGTTGCCCCCTTCGAACTTTGATCGGCCTTGACACTTTTCGAAGAATGGTCATCACCTAAATTTGCGGTTTTTTCTTGTGTACGTTGGGGCTGTGATCCCTCGGAGGTACTAACGCTAGTATTGTAATGAACTGGACTCAAATCCGGGGAATAACTGAGATCGCGTTCCACGTCTTTCATATTGTAATTTTTTATTAAGTTGTGCAGCTGTGCTAAAGGATTATTCGATTCCATTTCAATCACGCTCTGGCTCGGTGTTTGTACACTGCTCGTTGAGACTGTTAAATTTTCTACGCTTCCTCTAGACATACTCAGTAATTTCTGAATAAAAGTAAGCAGTCGGGGATCTACAGCTCTCTGATCTATAGAAGTCTGAGATGGCGACACACTTAAAACAGAGGAAATATCTCTGAAATTGCCTTGTCGGGGTTTCTTCAGCAAGTTATATAGGGACTGCCTAATTTCATCACTGATGGTGGAGTGTGCTTGGGACGCTCCGACTTTTTGAAAATCTGGCGGACTGAAGTAAGAGGTGCTAGATGTTGAAATTGAATTTTTACTCAACTGTTCCTTCCAAGACTTTGATTTTGATTCGGTAGTCTCCACTTGACGTATTTTGTCTCTTTTTGGTTCAACCCGAGGTTCGACCAGTTTATGATCAGTGTTGTGTCTTTTTGTAACATCTTTTCTTGGTTTATCTTCTGTACTTTTCTGGGTTTCACTCAAAACTTTATTACTGACTGGTTTTTCATGTTTTGGTGAGCCTTTCAATTCGTCTGTACCGATACCAATAGATTTTGTTTCCAGTTTTTTATATTTTGGACTTTCTGCTTTTACTGCATCTTCAGAAACTTTAACATTTCTTTCTTTCGACTTTACAACTACCTCTGGCTCTTCATTGTCATTTATTTTTATTACAATTTGACACAACTCGTCCGTGCTCTCATTTTCTTTGTTGCAGTCACATGGAGTATGAAGTTTTGAGCAAATTGGTTTCTCCTTCGGTTTTTCCTTATCCACGGATAAAACCTGAGGTTTTGGCGCAACAGCATAAGTACCTGTTTTATCTTGATTAGAGTTTGAACTAGGCTTAGGGGTAGTTTGCGTACTCGTATTTTGTAACACCAAAACTTTCGTTATCGACTTTATTTTTTGTTTTTTTCTTGGAGATGGAGTTTTGGTGTCAGAATGATGACGCCCCTTATGCTTATCTTTCACCTTTTTTCCTTTTCCATGCTTCGATGAAGATGTGGAGGAACTTTCTGTGGTACTGTCAGTCGAAGTCTCTTTGTCATGTTCCTCTCTTCTTCTTTTCCTTTCAGACTTTTCGTCTCTTTTTCGAATCCTACCGCTGCTTCTGTCGTCACTGTCGCTAAAGGATTTTAAATCGCTTATCAACTCATTTATGCTGTCATTCGAAGGAAGCGACTTTATTTCATTGATCAGTTGTTCCTTTTGCAGCTTCAAGCTCCTTAAGAGTTGCTTCAATTTTGCTCGGCGGTCCTTTGGGTTTTGCACAGTAAAAGCTTGAACTATTTCTTGGACTTCTTCAATGGTGAACATTTTTGGTTCCTCCTGATCCACATCCCAATTACCTATGTTTAATGATTGTATAGGTTCATCGGTTGCTGGTCTTACGGTTTCCTTTTCATGAATTTTACTGGGCAATGTCACTACGGCCGGTTTTACATTCGGGAACAACTTATTAAAGGCGTTATCTAATTCATTTTGCTTTTTTCTGTCCCTTTCCTTGAGTCTTTCCTCAGACATGTGATATTCTTGTTTATCCTTAGCTATTTCACAGATACGCTCCTTTTTCTGAAGGAGAGGTAATTTTTTTAACATCTCTTCATAGTCTTTCTGAATCCTTTCCTTTTCCAATGCTTTTTGGCCTCTTATCTGTGCATCTCTATCTCGTTGTTTCATTTTTTGCTGCCATTCTTCTTCAGATATCACATCTGGAACTACTTCCAGACTGTCTCCGCTGATTTTCTCTACATGAGTATTGGAAGGAAACTGTTTCTCTTGAAAAAATCTATTTGGATGGTCGTAATACTTCACTTTATGAGAATCATATGTTTCTAAAGTATCTTTAGAGGGTCCTGTAGTTCTTTTGGTTTGACCATATTTTTCTTTCAATTTAACAGCTGGTTTATCGGGAATTTCACCTTCAGAACTTAATTCTTGAGGCAAAGATGTTTGTTTTGATTTTAGATCACCTTTGCTTAGTTTTATTTTACTGTTATCTTCCACATGTTGGTCTTTAAATTTACTACCACAAATTTTCGGACACTTATGCCCACAAATGCAATTAATTTCTACAGGAACGTTATTAATATTACGAGCATCGATTGCATCTCTCAGTTGGGTATTACTTTCTATAAATGGTGTCGGATGAGTTTTAGCAACGGTATCACAGTAATCTGGTTGAGATGCCATTAATTCCCTTCTTTTAATTCTGTCCGAAATTCTGGTGTCTAACGGTGGGCCCATGTTACTTGATTTTTGTCGGAATTCTTCAATTAATTTCCTTCTGTCATGTAGTTGCTTTGCTAGATTTGTAACTCCAGTTATTGTCACTTGTTCTTGATTTTTTGGTGATACCGAACGATGTGATTTCAATACTACAAATAAATTACATTTTAGTATTTCATTATATTGTTATATTAACTCTTTAATTAAAAAAAAAGAGTTTAATGAAACAGTTATTTTACTACTTCCATTATAAAAAATAAAAGCGAATAGGAGTCGTTATCCCAATAAAAGTATTGTAATATTAAAGAATTATGTATAGGGTATTCTATTTAATGCTTACTTACCAACTCAATATCTCGAAAATAAAAATATATTATGTATTTCGGTGACTATAACACAACACTTTTTATAGACTGATAAATTTTTGGTTTTTGAGATATTGGCTTGGAAAGTTTTAAATGGAACATTCTGTATATACCATTACAAATAAAACATGAATAAAATAAAATATGTATGTAATCTTTACCTGAATAATCTGTTTTATCAGATGGTTCCTTAGTACTATCAGTAGTATCGGTACAATCACAGGAATTAGTCGAAGGCTCTTCTTTCTCATTTACATTTGACAATTTCTCCTCTTCTGAATGATTTCCCACTTTAGTTACTGCTAATTCTGAACACTCTGAATCTGAACTTGGTATAGTTATATTTATATCAGCAATTGGTTTTTTTCTCTTTTTAGTTTTAACGTTGCACTCTGCGTCACAAGGTTTGTTCTTTTTAAGCCCAGATACCAATGATGCCCTAGTATTTTCTATGTCTCTAACAAACTTTTTCTGCTGGATTGGTATTGCTTTCTTAAGATTTTCCTTATTTTTCTGTATTTGTAACTCGGTTGCAGCTACTTGACCACGATGAGTAGCAATTTTGTCACTAAGTTTTTTTTGTTCGGTTAAAATTTCATTTTCATCTACAAAATCCATGGCTTCTTTATGTCCTGTTCCAAGTTCTTGTAATGCTTCTTCATATTGAGTTTGTAGTTCCAGAAGTTTTCTGTTTTGCCAGTTCTTTAGTTTCTCCTTACCCTCCTCTTCGATTTCGCGCATTTGTTTTTTCTTTTCCTTTCGTACTTTATTTCGAACATTTTCAGCTATATCTTTCGACTGCTGTCGAACTTGTTCTAATCTCATGAGACGTCTTTTCTCAAATTCTTTTTTAGCTTGGTATGAGTCAGAAGTAACCATTTTTCCTCGTTTTATACTAATTGGATTTCCAGTGACAGTCACATTAATAGACATTTTAAAAAAAAAGACAGTTATGTAAACATAACCTCCATTCTCACGAATCGGACTACAGATTATTAAATAAATAGTCCAGTGAATAATAGGCACCGTTTGTCCCCACAACGTTAAATTATCATAAATAATTTAGTATTATTCGATTCAATACATAAGCCACAAAATCCACAAAACCATTATATTTGACTTTTGACACTGACGACAACGACCATCCTTCAAAACAGGTTCAAATGTTCAAAATTTGAATTTCATAAATAAATCAAATACCTAAGGCTTTAGTCAAGGCCTAAGGTTAGTAAGTTTACTAAAGTTCAGTGATGCGACGACACATTTTGAGATACGAGTTTAAATTACAGAGAAGTAAGAAAACATTATTCGATTTGGTACGGCACACATGTTATACATGATAGGTACATGAATGTATGGCAGCTTTATTAATTTCAAATGTAGTGTCTCTAAATATTTTGGATGTACAGAAGAAAAATATTCACAAAACAGTTTACGTTTACGGGATTAATAACCGATGTAAATGTATATAGTTCGGCCATCTGTTATCAGATAATTCAACCAGATTTTCATTTGATAATGAGATCTACAATTTTTAACGACACATTTTTTATATGTAATAGTCATCGAGTAGTAATACATGTTGTAATACATTTATATTTACTGGATGTCTTTTTGAAAAAATTAAGTGAAGATCGTACTCGTACGCAGTGTCCCCAGTGTACTTTTTACAGTTTTATTTTCTATGATCTATCATGCTGATGTTAGATTATAGTAAATAGTCCTAGAGGGCACTGTAGTGAAAACTTAAAACTGGATATTCAGTTTAGCTTTCAGTTGGTCTGTCTTAAAAAAGAAAATACATCCGATACACATCTAAAATGATTAATGTGTACAATAAAAGGTCTATAGTTATAGTAAACAATGCGAAAACAATACCTACATATTATGCCATATACTAGGTACCTACGTATATTATAGGTAAGTACCTACATAGGTAAGTACTAAGCAAAGGGCAGTTACAGTATCTATATACATCACCAAATGAAATGTGTAACTAATCTGTAGGAGTATGTCAATTTTATTAATACGTAGGTATACTTATTTGAATTCGACATTTCTCCACATAAATGAAGCGGAAACTTGGGAGATAGATCTCATCGCTCCGTGGCTCGTTATCTTTATTTGTACGCTAGTACGTATTTTTGTTAAATTTTATAAATTATTTGCAAGTGTATTGTCCATAAGAAATATTAAAATTTCATGATAATTGTTTCTTTTCTTAAATACAAATTTAAGAATTAAAGTGAAATAATGAAAGATGTGTGTCAAATAAGAAGTAGGCAATCTTCTTATTTTGGCCTGTGATTTTATTTAATTAAAAATATTGGAAAAGAACTAAACTTCAAAATTATACAAGCCGGTTTTTCAATATGTCCTTCAATAAATATGTTGTTATTTATATGAAGTACCTAGGTATAACACGAAATGTTTTGTTATCATATTAATACAGAAAAATGAATGGGAGTTAAAAAAATTAACTGAAAATGGTATTATCAGGGCCGTTCCTGGCGGGGGTGCAGCACGTGCACTCGCACGGGGCGGCAGGAATTAGGGGGCGGCATTTCGTTCGTAAAACAGTATATAAATTTCATATAAAAGACCCCTTACAATACTTATATCGGTTTTAAATGAATACAGTTAAACGTGGCAACCTCGCCCCACAGCGCAGTTTAATTAATCGGAAAAATTCTTTGCGCGACTAATTTTTCTCAGGTAGGATGTTTTGAAATAAAATATACCTGTATTAACTCTGAAACCTTTAAGCGAAACTCCTTGGGAAAGTAGAATAAATTAGACCTTTAATTTTAAATTATAAGAACGTTTACAAAGGCCTTAATGAAATAATCGAAAACGAAAAAAAGTATTTCAAAACTAGAATTACAGCACAAGCATTAGTGGCATTAGTGGAGAAATTTATTTCATTTAAATTTATCTCATTGATAATTTGGAACGATTTTCTATCAGAAATTAACGTTCTTAGTAAAATGTCTCAAAATCCTAAAAATAATATTTTCGAATGTGTAACTGCCCCTAAAAAATTAATTAACTATATTAGTGAAAAAAGAACTGATGAAAGTTTTATTTTCATTTATAAAAGAAGCTGAATCAATAGAGGCAGAAGTTAATATTTTGCCCGAATTTCCTCTTGTACGTCAATTTAAAGTGCCATGACAAAAGACGAGCCCATTGTTGATCAAAAACAAAATTTTAAAGTACATTTTTATTTTAGTATATTAGATACCACGAACAATTCACTACAAGAAAGATTTTCTTTAATAGAAGAATCTAATAATTTATTTAAAAGTTTATACGAGAAAATCATGTTTGGATCTATATTCTTATTTACAACAAGGGAATGGGATGTGACATTGGGAATGGCGACTTCCTTCAACGAGATATCGATGGAAATGAGCTCTATAATGAAATTTTATGTTTTAAAGCCATTGTTACATCGCTTGAAGAATCCAAACCTTACTTTATATTAAATTATATAATCACCAATGAATTTACCTCTTGTTTTCCTAATTTAGCCGTAGCTCTAAGAATATTTCTTACATTACCCGTGACGGTCACCTCTGAGGAAAGGAATTTTAGTAAATTAAAACTCATTAAAAATTTCTTACCGTCTACTATGTCCCAAGAAAGATTGACAAACCTTGCCACTATTTCAATTGAACATAAAATTTGTCAAAACTTAGACATATCAAATATAATAGACGATTTTGCTTCTAAAAAAGCTCGTAGGGTTTTACTTTAATTTTATTTGTATATTTATTATATTATTAGATATTATATTATAGACTTATTTTATTTTTGTGATTTTTCGGTTGTTGTGTATTTATTTTTAAGTTTGTTTTTTATCGCATGTAAATAAATATGAATCTAAATACAATAAGGTTTTTATTTTTTTTTTAATAAATTTGTTTCATGAAAGGTTTCTTGTCAAATATCACAAAATGATGGGGTGTCGATTTTTGACGTGACTTACTCAAACTAGTATTTTTATTTCAAAATTTCATTCATCAGGGCCGCAATTAATTTTTTGCACGGGGCGGCAGAAGATCCAGGAACGGCACTGGGTATTATATGTATATCTTATATTTTGCATTATAGACAGATACTTTACAAATTTAACTACATACCTATGAGAATTAGTATTTATTTTTATATTGATGATGCTTCTGTTAAAGACGTTGCTGTCTACTACCTACACCAACCAAAATATTTTTTTGCATGGCAGCAGAGCCAAGGTTAATGTTAATGAGACTTTGCAGTCTATTTTTGACACCACATTCTGGCGGATGTAATAATGGGAGCATTTACAAACATATTTTCCTCAGTATTTTCTTAACAGTGTCATTGCTTTTGTGATGAGCTAGTTAGTCATTCGCAATATATATATTTTTATTAATAGTATTTATTTAACCAATTTTAACTGAGAGTAACTGAGATACTTACTTTATCTTGCAAAAGTATTTGTTCTTTTTACATAAGAATTTTAGAAACCCCCCTTACCCCAACTAAGCTAGCTTTTTAAAATGCGTACAACTAATCTGAAACAATGGATCTATACAGGGTGTCCCTAAATAAGTGTCGCAACGGAAAACTGTAAATTCCTCTTGAAAAAAGAAACATTTTTTTCCTCTTCCATTTTTCTCTCCGGGCTTTCGTTTTCGAGATACACGGTGTCAAAACTTTAAATTTTTTTAGTTTTTCGCCAATATCTTAGGAATCGTTTGAACTACAGGACTGAGCTTTTGTACACACATTACCACTATTAATAGCTACTTTTTCGCACCCTTCTCGAATTCATTGGACGTGCCAGTGGTGGAGATTTTAAGGTATCGTAAGGGTTTTTCCCCCCCTAAATTTTACGCCACTGGAAAAATTGACTTTTGACAGCAAATTCTAAAGCGCCAATGAATTTTACACAATAAGAGTTCTCTTGGTTCATTGCTCTAAAGTCAACCGTTTTCAAGAAAAATGACTTTTTATGAACAAAAGCAAACATTTTGCTAACGTTTCGATAATCTTTTGTAATTCAAAAAAAGTTAAAATCCTATCTGTTGTTAAATTTCGTTAAAATTGTTAATTATTACTACCTATTTTTTGAATTACAAAAGATTTTCGAAACGTTAGCAAAATGTTTGCTTTTGTTCATAAAAAGTCATTTTTCTTGAAAACGGTTGACTTTAGAGCAATGAACCAAGAGAACTCTTATTGTGTAAAATTCATTGGCGCTTTAGAATTTGCTGTCAAAGGTCAATTTTTCCAGTGGCGTAAAATTTAGGGGGGGAAAAACCATTACGATACCTTAAAATCTCCACCACTGGCACGTCCAATGAATTCGAGAAGGGTGCGAAAAAGTAGCTATTAATAGTGGTAATGTGTGTACAAAAGCTCAGTCCTTTAGTTCAAACGATTCCTAAGATATTGGCGAAAAACTAAATAAAATTTAAAGTTTTGACACCGTGTATCTCGAAAACGAAAGCCCGGAGAGAAAAATGGAAGAGGAAAATAATGTTTCTTTTTTCAAGAGGAATTTACAGTTTTCCGTTGCGACACTTATTTAGGAACACCCTGTATAAGTGTATAAGACCATAAGACCTAAGACTATGGTTATTTAGAAACTTTAATATTTTAAAGAAAATACATCCAATATGCAAAGTATAATGTGAATGTGTAAGGAATGGACAATACCACAGCTTTATTAAGCTGTAACAATCTTTTTAAAGTCTTCTTTACCTCACTTCGTCTTAGCTAACTTAGTCTTATTGTTAGTTAGTCTCAGAAGTAAGAAAATTATTTAGTAAAAAGAATACAATTAATGTTACGTAATCTGAGACTAATGACAAATGACTGTCTTTTAATTATATACTACAACCTTTAAAATGTTTTAACAAAAACTAGATAAAAAATAAATTTGTAATTAAAAAGCATAGGTATTTTGAAAGAAATGAAAAGAATAGCAATCATAACTACAATCTTGCTTTTATAAATATTGAATTTAATTAAATGTAATTTATAATTTTTAACATTGTCTTTTAGTAATGAATCTCGAGTCTCGAGACAATATTACTGATAAACTGATATACATATAAGTATCATTTCTCGATCTATAATTACTGATATGTTAAGATTAAATAAAATTTCACCAGCACCATTATTTTATTCTTTATTAAAAAATAAAATAAAATAAAATTTTGATACTTATCTCTTGAAAACCCGTGATGTTTTTGTAATACCCACAGAAAGAGGATCCAGTTTTCACCCTCCTTATTTGTACGTAGTAGAGGTCAATGACATATTACTAGCTATACGGACTAGGATAAATTCAACGTATACCTAAGTACACATCATGAGCTGTCAACATATTATGTCTATCAGCTAAAGAAGCACCCTTCTCTCCGCACCCTCTCTGTAAAAGCTATTTCCGAGAACGTAAACAAATACTTAATATATCACATTATTAAATGTATTAGGTATAAAGGTTTTTGAAATATGAAGTTAGCTGCTAGAAAATTTTAAATTTGTTCCTTGTGTTATTTTTTATTAGACAGTATCAAATTATTAACAGTACCTATTCAATTTATGGAAATATAGGGTTTTCGAAATTTAAGGTCTTATTAACTCACAAAAACTCAAAAGGTGCATTTAGTGCTTTAATCCATTTTAATTGAAATTTATGGTACTTAACTGTCACAATTTCACAAGAAAAAAAATCATCTAACGTAGGTACAAAACCAAATTATGAGTTGGTTGAGGGAGAAATAGTCACGTTTAAATAAAGCAATATAATTATCCAAGTCTATAAAATAAAAGGTTGTCTACAAATTGCTTGCATCCCTAAGTAATGAGTGACGTCATTACTATTATAAATCGAATAGCGTCAACGTTAGTTAGTCATTGTTCTTGTTTGTTAATAAATTTACTAAATTTCAGTTGTGATTCGAAGTTTTCAAAACATCTTCAGTAAAGAAAGATTAGATTGGAAGGCGCTGCTGAAAATTTGTTTTTAATTCTGCCAAAAAAAGAATTTGTAGTAAGGATTTTTATAACAATATTTCGAAGACATATGACATGCGACTAGCTGCAAACGAATTAAAATCAATGGGAATACATTTTTGTCATGTTCTATGCACTAAGTAAAGCAAATAAATCGTTTTTGAAATTTTCCTGTATCATTCTGAAATTGAACAACAAACCACACGAAATACCTATGTAGTTGTTTGTGGTAATTAGTGTATCTATTTTCTTATTGTGTAAGTATTACTCTAGTTAATAAATAATAATTAAGAGTACTTATTACAAAAATAGTGTTTTTTTTTTGTTTCAATTTAGTGCATCTTTCTTTTCCTTTCCAATTCAACATGTGTACATAATAATGTTAGTGCTCGAGAGTTAGAATGAGAGTTTTTACAATGAGATATGTAACTAATTTTGTAGACATTTTCTTGTTTCACACTCGATAAAAGCAAAATTGGGAGAACCACGCTACAAATATTTGCATCCACTGTTTTAATAATGAGTGTTTTGTCCTTAGAGAACGAACAAATATGATTATTTTAATTATTTGCTTTTTCTTAGGTATACCACATTATTTATACAAGAGATCTATAGGTTGAATTAGGTAATTATTATATTGCCAATTGTGCTTATGCGTGCACTTGATGAATTTCAAATTAAAAATTTATGTGTATTAAATATACCTGAATGTTGCAGGGGCGGATCCAGAGATCTATCACTTTGACAGGGGGGCGATATAGTTGATGTAGGAAAACTGAGAGACATAAAATTTTGAATCTTCATTCATTTATTTTACTAAAAAAAGGTTATGCAGTCAGCACGTTTTTAAATAGAAAATTTTTTATTTTTATTAATTTATTGTGTTTAATCTTTGATTTATTTTTTCGGACCATTTGGGATGCAGGCGATCGCCCCCATGCCCTCCCCCCCCCCCTCCGTATACACGGAATGTAGCTCCTTGTATAAAATGACCGCTTAGAATAGCTTCTTATTCATACTGGAAGTAGGTTATAAAGTTATAATTTAGTCGCATCTAAACCAAAATGTCCACTCATTATTTTGTAGCTGCATCGAAAACACTAGGTTCAGCCAACTATTTAATCACAGGTTGCAGTCCGAGTTCCTTTTTACATATTATAAACAATCTAAACTGTAAAAATGCTGCAACTGTAATGTTTAGAAATATCTACTCACGCAGGAATTATTAAAATCATTAATAATTTTTTAAATAACCAATATTAAGTTATGTGATGGAAATCAAATCAATACACCGATGAAGTATTCCCGTCTAAGAAATGATATAATATTCTCAAGATCAAAGTTTGTAGACAGCCTACTTCTCTAGTGATTTTGAGGATCCTCCAAAACAATTTTAAAGCAGAATGAACAAATTTTATATTCGCGGTATCATTCATCAGATATAATACTTTGATTCTGATTCCTGATTTTGATCTGCTCTTGATGCAGTGTACTTAGATTTCAGAGACACCCCTGTATATTTGATTCATTAAGAAATCTAAAAATTTGAAAGAACTCAAAATCACTTTTTAAAATTGATCACTTATTTTGTTTGACGAAAATTTTCCATCAGGTATAAATAGGAGCAAGCTCGACATTAAAGTCGTTTTCAAAGTTAAAAATATTGATTTTTATCTACCTTTTCCTCAATAATTTAATCGTATGTTTTAATTCGTGGCCTATCTAAAAAAAATCGTTTAGAGTTTATTTCAAGATTTACTCTAATCTCGGTCGTAGGTTGTAACAGTCTTCTAATTTTATACTTCTACGTTTTGTAAATTTTATCAATAACTAAAACCGGGTTTTCTGATGTTGAAAATAAATATTGAAATATCTGTAAAGTTGAGCATACCATACAGAGACAATATTTTTTTTTTTAGATATTACTAAATATTACTCGGAATATAAATTACAAAATTGAACATCACTAAGCGTTGAACTAAAACTTAACGGTCATTGACAACGAATTTGCAGTTGCAAGTTCTGTCACGGTTGAAAGAATGTGAACTTATCGAAATGAATCCGTATTTTTGGTTTTATTGGTCTTCCGCTGTGTACTTGTATAAATATTACGTCTCAGTAGAGATAATTTAAGAACAATCTAAAGAAAGAATGTGAACTTATCGAAATGAATCCGTATTTTTGATTTTATTGGTCTTCCTCTGTGTAGTTGTATAAATATTACATCTCAGTAGAAATAATTAAGAACAATCTAAAAAATAAATAAAATGGTGGAACAAATTTCCAGAAATAGAATTAATAAAAAAATATGGATTGAGATTAATGTGAAAAATTATATTTTAAAGTAAAAGTAACGATGAATAACAATTAATTTTGAACAGAAATTTGATATTTTGGAAATGGGAAACATTTGAAAGATGGAATAGTTTCCTCAAATATTTAATACTTTTCTTGATTTTAGACGACATTTAAACGGATTGAACAATTCTTTAAGTCAGTACGAGCTTGTATAATAAATATCCTATACAATTGATTAAAAGATACGACAGTACTTAAAGTATTCTTATTCTTGAGTCAGTTTAGACCATTGTTTGCTTTTTGCCGTTGGATAGGAAGACTTTTGTACAAAATTCCTAGGTTTAACCATATATTCTGGGTATTTCTGTAACCATAATTTCATCCCCTCTCCACCCCCTAAGAAAATTCCTGACTACACCCATGTTCTTATTTAAAAATGTGTTGTAAATTTTGTAGTATTAATTTGTGAGAAAAACATTAACTAATATTGGTTTGTTGATCTACCTACATAAGTGTAATTATTAATTAGGATAATAAAGGTGTATTTAACAATAATATTTAATCCTAAGCTTAATCCAATTGTTCAAGGATCCTTACAGTTTTCGAATATGATGTATGCATATATATTATTAAGGTTTTAAGTACTCTCTGATCTGACCTAATCTGTTTATTTGTTTTACACAACTATTAAGATTGGATTAAAATTGGTGTATATTGTAGTATAATCCTTTTTAGTAGTTCAAAAAAGACAAATATAATAATTTGTCGGAACTAAGATTGTTTACGAAAATTTAAACTTGAAGTACTTTGTAATAATTGTTTTCTTTGTTTGAACAGTTACTGTAAGATGGGGTGAGTTATTATGTAGGTAATTTTTTTTAATAATGCAGTTGGATATAAGTCTGCTGGAAATACGTTTTGGGTCAAAGTAAGTAAAACTCGCAAGTAATATAATGATAATATGGTTTATTAATCAATTGCATAGAGTTAAATTTCAAATGAAATGGAGATATGGTTCTCTAAAATATGATTTCTCAATATGTAATTTATGTCATCTCTAAAATATGCATCTTATCTACAACTATATGATAAAACTTAATACAACGAAGTCACTTAAATTTAAAATACATGTATATGAATACTCTGAAAAATATAATATGTCCTTAATCTATAATATAATATGTTGACGATAATATTTAAATATATAAACTTAAATGAAAGACTTAGAGGTAATGAAATGAGTAATTTTACACATAATAAATCTGATACGAGTTAAGTGCATGGCTTCTTATAAATGTAAGAAATATTTACAAATCTAACAAGACCGAGAACGATAAAGTACAAGCGATTGCAATGTATGTTTAATTCAGTATATTCGAATATCATATTAGACATCCATTGCACTAACACTCAGCCTATTCTATGGCAGGTATTTTAGATCAATCTCACGAATCTTTTACTATCTTAATTGCCCAGAGAGAACAAGCGCTAGAGCTCAAGAAATTTAGCCATCATTTGGTGGGAAACTCTAATGGTCTTCGTGAGTATACTTTGAAGCAAACTGGTAACTTACGGGAAATGTAAACGTATCTATATAAAAATTTAACTTTTACGGAATTGGTTTCAAAACGAAGGCTAATCTTCTTGCGCCCGCATATCGAAATCTAGTAGTTAAAAAGAATAATACAAAATATGGCTCAAAAATATACAACCAAAACAAATTAGTTGTGCATTTAAGGTAAGGTAGCGCGACGATCTACAGGATTTATGCACTTTGGCTTTGAGATCTTTCGTGTTACGGTCTGAAAACAAAAGTAACTTTTCATAAACTAATCTCATCTTAGGCAACAATTACAACAATACACAATAACGAACAAACACACCATGTATTAATTAACGTTATCCCTAATACTACGGATATATTTATAAATTAAAAAATGATTGCTTATACGGGATTTTACAATCCAAGTCAATTGTACTCAATATACGCGCTAAAAATATTATTTAATGGCTACTGTTTTGATCCGAGGCGAGACGACGACAAAAATTGGAAGTGAACTGCAAATAAGCTCAAGTGTAAAAAATAGAATTGCATTCTATGGAACTTTACAGCTTTCATTGAGAACCTGATCAATCTTTGAGAATGGCGTCGTCTTACTTCGGACAGTCAGTCGTAGCATTTCTTTGTAAACTTAATGTACTTTAATAAAAAAAATAAATATGTAATGCCAGTAGAAAAATATGTATTAAGTTTACAAGTGCCGTCTTTTAACAAAAAAGTAGCTCGTCATGCACGGTGCCCGATATTACGTTAAATGAAATGAAAAGTATACATCGAACTTTATTTGTCAAACACGAATTAATGATTTAATTGACCTTGTTATAGATACTTTATGAAAGTATATTTTTAGTTTTCTTTTTAGGTCTTTCATGTTCAGGTGATCGAATTTTGTAACGAATTTCTGTATTCATAAACATGAGGATCCAGTATAACAAAGAATAATGAAGCAGCGATATCAGCTGTTGTAGGGAAGATACATACCCTCCCCCAATAAATTTATGTAATTCCAACATTCTAGTATAACAGAGACCATTTTTATCAATACTCTATAGAGAACGAACAGAAATCCAGAAAAATCAATATAATTGCCACTAAGACAGGATCTATCGGGAATTTGAATATCAAGGACGGAAACGTCACAGGCTAGTGACTTTAAACAAGCATGGAACGCCATAAACCGCATTGGTTCATGAAATACCGCCCTGAAAATTTAATCTCCAGTTTCATGGTTTCTTTTGAGAAGATAATAGTTATGTTCTTGAAATCTCAAGAAGCCTAAACCTGCGACGTGGCAACCGGCCTGGAAATTATTTAGCCGACGTGGAATTACGCAATCCAAACGATAGGAGCGTAGGTGAGATATAACCTATAAATTTTGTCATTGCTACTCAATGCTCGCTGGCACAAATTATGGCTTTGTACCTACTGGCAGAAGGATAGGAATTAGAAAATTGAAAACTAAGAATGTATGTATATTCGTTGAAGTTTGTATTTTTAGATATCTACATCCATTGATTGGATGTTTTATCATTCCGAAAAAATTATCAAATGGGTACTCAACATGAGTAAAATATTTCCAACATTTGTAAAATGTTACTTATCCTAAATACGACGTTCAAATCAAATTTGAAGATAAATGGAATTATTTTGGCTTTGGTTTCTTCCAAGCTAGTGACTTGGCACCGTGCAAAGATTAAACAAACATTTTAGGCGGAATAGTATATACTGAGTATGTTTATTAGAACACAGATATAGCTCATCGATTTTGATTACATTATTGATCTCCGATCATAAAAAATATCGTATTGTACTTCTCATGTGGTGTGAGATCTGGGTAATTCGTACCCCTTTGTCCATAAAGAACACATATGGATCACTTGTCAGTGTCTATCGGCCGTCACTTAGGAACTACGGATCAGTCTCCGAACCGCGAGCAGGCTTTCTTCCACTTGCACTGGGTGCACCATTGCTCGCGGTGCTCCATCCCGTAGACCTTGCGGCACTTCTTGTTCTCCCCGCGGATCCTGCGGGGCGATACTGGCATCTTGGGGCTGTGGGGACGCGGCGATAGCTTGAGGATTTTGTGGGGGGATTGGGGGACAGTGGTGGGGCCCATCAGCAGGCTCTGGCGCATGTTTCCCACCAGTTGCCTTTGGTAGTCGGGGTCTTCGTGGAATGGTCTGGCCATGTCGCGATGGGACAGGGTTGGGGGAGGGCTGGTATAGCCCAGCTCGATTTCTGTGTAGTAGAACTCCTCTTCTGCATCCTCGCAAATTTGGTCCCTGAAACAGACATCGTTATTTAAATTTTTTGGTTTTTGCTAGTTTTAAATTTAATAGGCCTATCAACCATTTTATTAAACGAGTTTTTACTTATGTTTACTATTGACCGACTAAAATAAATGAGGGTTAAAAGGTTGTCAATATTTAATATGCATACATATACATATACATATACATATGAATGTCATAATTATATGTATACTTGGCCATCACCTCAAATGAACCTTAAAAAAATATACACGTGTAATATTAATTGCCGTATTGCATGATTTCCTTAGCTGAGAGGAGTTTTATAAATAGGGTTGACATTTAGGCCTCACTACCCACTTTGATAATGATAAACAACGACATCCCTAAAAATAATCATTCTATGGCGGTGACCCTTTTTATACGACCTTTTTAGCTATAAAAGAATATCGGTTCCAAATTGTATTCAATTTCATTCATATTATGTTTCACGTCATTGTGTAACCACCGTTAAAATATGATTAATTCCACATTAACTGGAAAATACAACATTGGTATACTTATTTAATTTTTTATACAGGGTGTTGCACCCCTGAGGCGATATACCCTCTTAAAGGAGGGGATTGAAATTCACATTTTAATTTTTTCTTTAACATGAGGAATGCTAGAGACGCGAAACTTGGTATGAGCTTCCTACTAATAAAGAGAGAACTTTTCAATATTTGTTCGATCATTGGCGTATTTTATAAAGGAGTGAGACAGCCAACACCATTGCAATATTTCATTAGAAATTTTTTATAAAGCAAATTATTTATTTAAAAATATTTATTGGGAAGACTGATTTATTGCACAACTTTTTTTACCTCTTGTAATTTTTCGATAAAACCGATAGTTTTCTAGTAAAAAAATTAGATGTGTCATCGTTCACTAAAGGGGTAATTGCGAAAATTTGTAAAAATAAAATAGGCGGATGTCATAATAAATAAATTGTTATTTATCATATTAATAAATTGACACTTTCTGTCAACCAATAATTAGTACCAATTGATTAATTTATTATCAGAATAATTATGGCAAATAATATTTATACCAATGACGAATATGTCGACATGTTCCAAGTGTTTTTCAACCCGTGCAAGAATTGAATGACCCTGATTTACCTAACTGCGTGGATTTTTGTGAATGTGAATTAATATTTCCAGGCATGACTTAAATTTCCTAATGAATATACTTTTCACCGATGAAGCAAATTTTCTTAGAGTGGGTGCAGTAAACCTTCATAATGTTCATTCATGGTCCGAAGAAATATTTGTTTCAAGACGTCAACATAATTTCAGTTTAAACGTTTGGATGGAAATTGTAGGAAACACTGTAGTAGGTCCTATTATTCTTCCACACAGACTTGGAGCGATCGAGTATCTTAGATTTTTGAACGAAAATCTTCCAACATTACTTGAGGATGTACCACTCGCTACACGTCAGGTGATGTTGTATATGCACGATGGGGTGCCTGCACATAGTACACTTGCCGTTGGAGAATGGTTAAATTTAAATTACCCGAATCGTTGGATTGGTCGTGGTCGTGATGCCCGTGTTTGTTGGCCTGCACGTTCACCTGACTTAACGCCTATGGATTTTTTATGGGGACACATAAAAAGTATTGTTTATGCGACTCCTGTTGCCTCCTTAGAAGAACTACGCTTAAGAATATTTCAGGCAGCAATAACCAAGAACTGTTTGTGCGAGTGCGTTATAACTTCAACAGACGTATTAAGGTTATGCTTGCAGCGAAATGGAAATTATTTCGAGAATATTCTTTAAATTTTATTTTGCATTTCGTGTTTTTCGTTTGCATTAAATTTTATTTCAGATATATAACTTTACCTAATACATGTCCCATAGTCATACATTATCAAACATTTTTCATTAATTAGTAACACATTATTCTTAATGTTATTATTAAATTACTAGCGTATTGACAGAAAGTGTCAATTGATTAATATGATAAATAATAATTTATTTGTTACGACATCCGCCTACTTTATTTTTACGAATTTTCGCAATCTAATTTTTTTACTAGATAACTATCGGTTTTACCATAAAATTACAAAAGGTAAAAAGGTTGCGCAATAAATCAGTCTTCCCAATAAATATATTTTAAATAAATAATTTGCTTCATATAAAAAATTTCTAATGAAATATTGCAATGGGGTTGACTGTTTCACTCCTTTATAAAATACGCCAATGNGGGGTGCCTGCACATAGTACACTTGCCGTTGGAGAATGGTTAAATTTAAATTACCCGAATCGTTGGATTGGTCGTGGTCGTGATGCCCGTGTTTGTTGGCCTGCACGTTCACCTGACTTAACGCCTATGGATTTTTTATGGGGACACATAAAAAGTATTGTTTATGCGACTCCTGTTGCCTCCTTAGAAGAACTACGCTTAAGAATATTTCAGGCAGCAATAACCAAGAACTGTTTGTGCTTGCAGCGAAATGGAAATTATTTCGAGAATATTCTTTAAATTTTATTTTGCATTTCTTGTTTTTCGTTTGCATTAAATTTTATTTCAGATATATAACTTTACCTAATACATGTCCCATAGTCATAAATTATCAAACATTTTTCATTAATTAGTAACACATTATTCTTAATGTTATTATTAAATTACTAGCTTATTGACAGAAAGTGTCAATTGATTATTAATATGATAAATAATAATTTATTTGTTATGACATCCGCCTACTTTATTTTTACGAATTTTCGCAATTACCCCTTTAGTAAACGATGGCGCATCTAATTTTTTTACTAGATAACTATCGGTTTTACCGAAAAATTGCAAAAGGTAAAAATGTTGCGCAATAAATCAGTCTTCCCAATAAATATATTTTAAATAAATAATTTGCTTCATATAAAAAATTTCTAATGAAATATTGCAATGGGGTTGACTGTTTCACTCCTTTATAAAATACGCCAATGATTGAACAAATATTGAAAAGTTGTCTGGTTATTAGTAGAATGCTTATACCGAGTTTCTTGTCTCTAGGATTCCTCATGTTAATGAAAAAAATTAAAATGTGAATTTCAATCCCCTCTTTTAAGAGAGTATATCGCCTCAGGGGTGCAACTTTCATATAAAGTATTTTTACTTCAATCCTCTTATTTTTGGCTCTTCATTCACTGGTACCATTTTTGCTACTTTATTTAAAAACACCCTGTATAAAGTAAGTATGTAGATACCAAAATACTGAAATACTTTTCTTTTGATTTAGTCACAGAAAGTAGTTAATGTTATGTAATTTCTATTAATACGTTTTTTTATCAAATACCACAACATACTGTTATGCAGAATAGTACTATCTGCACGCAATCTTTTTTATGAATAGGAGATAATTGCAATTAGCATTAATAATATACCGTATAAAGCGTGAAATTAATATCATAGAAATGAAGACAATGTATTATGCATAAATCAATCTAATGCTATAGGAGCTTACTTATGCCGACATTTTTGTATAAATAACGGTGACATTAGTATTTCTAACAATTGTGGTGGATTAAACTCGAGAAGTCCGCAAATGTATTTACATAACGAGTAACCAGTCGAAAATTTCACGTTGAACTGTGCAAAACCATAAACTAACGGGGTTTTCGTAGCCCCATGGCCAACGCCGAATATCTAGTGTGCGCAAACGGAATCGTTAACGGTCCAAGGCTAGCGAGTCAACCTTGAACAGTTCGCGTTCTCGTCATTAACATTAAACTTGAGATTTTTTGAGCGTTACCTCAATCCCGCGGTTGCAGGAAGTACTCTGCGTCTATTTTACTTTTCGTCACCTTGAATAGTCGAATTAATTTTATAGGTGTTATCGAAACTTACGCGGATTATATTGGCAAGCGAAACTGTTTGTTGTCAGGCCTTTGCAAACGTCACCGATGTGGCATGCAACGTGCAGCCTTGGGTTGTGGTACATTCACGCATTTAAATCAATACATATGAGTTACAACTATAACACAACGCGTGTACTTGGCGCGGCACGTGCTGTTTATGCAATTAAAACTATTTTGTGTTTGTGCGCCTAACTTCGAAACCTTGGAGCTTCATCTATTGTTGTAAGCTGGCGGCCATTCATTAAATTTCGCGAATACACCTCAACAACAACGCAATACCCACATTCGCGTGTTATTATAGCGGCTGACGCAACTAGGCGGGCCGAATTCCCATTTTATGAAAAAGTCGGGACGATATTGTTGATCGAATAAGTTGCTATCTCGAGATAAATACGGGCTCGTGTGGTGACGTAGCCTGTTTTGCAACTGGCACATTAGCTCATACCAAAATAAAATATTCTGGGATACTACGATTCGCTTTCATAGTAATTCAAAATAAACACAAATTCCTAACATATTATTGAGCTAGATTTTAACACGTGCGAATTTTATTTTAGTTCTTTAACTGCGGGAGACTATACAAATAAACGAAATACTCAAACTGAAATAGTAATCATGGTTTGAGACATTCTGATATGACCACGGTGCTGAGATTTTCACTCATGTTTGTTTTTTTTTTGTAAGTGAATTTTGAATTAAACTCGTGTTCTGCTTAACTAAGCGTGCGTTATTGCGAATATCATTCACGGATATAATAAAATCCCGCTGACATTGATATTTTATCAGAACTGTTCTATTTTCAGACAGTTTCCTGCAAAGGTCAGTTTAATTTTGAAAAGCGTCAATCTCATTTTTATTTTTGTAAAAATTTGGAAAAGCAATATTTGTATTCCAGATTATATTTCAGAAAAAGTTGATCAAACTTTGGAATTCGTCAACTCGATTTCATAAAAGAAATATTTCATTTCATGTGACGATAATTGTTATCTGAATTATATGAAGTCATATAATATTTAGAATCATTAATTTTAATGTTTGTTAGTTGTTACGAGTATAATTTTTAAATTCTAATTTGCCTTATATTACTTTCAATCAATAAGTACAGCTGTCAACCATAACAGATTGGCTTATAGGCTTATTGTATTACTGCGTGAAGAGGTTTGTTAGCTTTATCAGGTTTAAAAGCGTTTCTAAATTTCCGTTTTGAAAATTCTCTTGGTTGTTTGTTCCCAGAAGATTATCATTCTAAGGCGTTGGTATTTCACATTAGAAGATTATGTATGAAAATTGTTTCATCCTCTTTCCCTGACGTATTGACGTATATTTGTCAATATTTGTATATTGACGTAGATGTTTCGTCAAATCTCAGGAACCAGTTAGCAATTCCGTAACCTGCTTTGATTTGACTACTGCTTTATTACATTTCATCCAAAAGCAGGCTCAGGACTTTTTTGCTAGGATATTTGTTTCTTTATTATCCACTGTTTGTTCAGGCCCTGGAACCATGACATTGAAGGTATTTCTAGAGCAGTTTTGGGATGATCATGGATATTGCCAATGCCTTTACTACTGCTTTTTTATCGGAATAGATTTTTTTTTACTTTTATATGATGTTTTCCCGCAGATGAACCTTAATGAAAAGTAATTCAACTTGGAACAGTTGAATTGCCTCTAAACGATACAATTTTTTAAAGCCTAAGGTTGTCCCCAATATTCCTGCTAAAGATTAATTGTCAGTTGTGAATCAATTAATGTACCAGACCAGTGTTTTACACTTGTTTTTTTATCTTGTTATCCCAATGATTATACAGCCACACAAAAAAAATCCATAAACCAGAGGGTAGACCTCACTATACTTGGGTTTTTGGGGCCGCTGAAAACGAATATGATCATAAAAAATTATTTCAATTGCCCTTTTTCCCGCTAGCACTCTCTGAAGGGGGTTAAATTTTAAATTTTCGTACAAAATTAAGATGTATGCGTATTTCTATGTTTTTTGGGACGCTGAAACCGAAAATAATTACAAAAAATGAATTTAACCCCTCTCTTACCCGGTAGCATCCCTTTAAACTTTTGTACAAAATTAAGATGTTTATTTCCTTTTTGGGACGCTAAAATCGAATTATGATTTCTGTCCTAATCATAACCGTATTTATACGAGGGTGGTGTGAAAAGTTTCCGACCTGCACATGAAGATGGCAGCACTAAAAGCTAGTGAATTTCGTTGTTCATCTGTTGACAGCTACTCGCCAAAGTTTCAGCCATTTTGGACGCGCAGTTGTTATGTAACAATCGTTTGAGTCAGTTGATGTGAGTGTTTTTATGAAAATGGACAAAATCGAGTATCGAGCTGTCATTAAATATTTGTTTTTGAAAGGCAATACGCCTACGCAAATCAAAGATGAGTTGGATTCTGTGTATGGGGACTCTGCACCATCATTTACCACAGTGAAATTTTGGGCAGCTGAATTTAAACGTGGCCGTAAGAGCTTGGGAGACGATGAACGTTCGGGACGTCCAAAAACTGCAACTACCGACGAAAACATCGCCAAAGTTCACCAAATGGTGCTAGACGACCGCCGAATTAAAGTGAGAGAGATAGCAGAGGTTATGAACATGTCAAAAGAACGTGTTTGTCACATATTAAATCAACATTTAAACATGAGAAAGCTGTCCGCGCGTTGGGTGCCGCGTTTGCTCACGTTAGACCAAAAACGTGTTCGAATGAACATTTCCAACGCTCTGTTGGCGCAGTTTAGGCGCAATAAATCCGAGTTTTGGCGCCGATTAATTACTGTAGATGAAACTTGGATACACCATTATACGCCCGAAACAAAAATACAGTCCAAACAGTGGACTGCAAAGGGGGAACCGGCTCCAAAAAAAGCAAAAACTGTTTTTTCGGCTGGGAAAGTGATGGCGACTGTTTTTTGGGATAGTCATGGAGTTATTTTAATTGATTATCTTCAAAAAGGAAAAACCATTACAGGAGCATACTACGCATCATTACTTGACAAGCTAAAGGCAGAACTTGCGGAAAAACGGCCACATTTGCAGAAAAAGAAAATCCTGTTTCCAGGAATCCACGAATTACGGTTTGAACTGCTTGACCATCCGCCTTACTCACCAGATCTAGCCCCAAGCGACTTCTTTTGGTCCCTCATCTAAAAATTGCACTCGGAGGACAGAGATTTTCATCAAATGAAGAGGCAATCACCTTCGTGAACAATTATTTTGCAGAGAAAAACGCCGAGTACTATTTGCACGGGTTACAGAGATGGGAGCATCGCTGGGAGAAATGTGTAGAGTTACAAGGAAACTATGTTGAAAAATTAAAAAAAAATCTGAAAAAATGTGTTGTATCTTTGTTAGGTCGGAAACTTTTCAGACCACCCTCGTATTTGATATTTTGAACTTGACACCTTATTTTAGACAAGATATTTTAAGCAAGAGAGTTCGGTATCATAGAAAGAGCTAAATGCCGACTCGTGGGAGGCAAGGGGACTTAACTTTAATCAAGCACCCCGAATCATGAGAGGCAAGGGGACTCACGTTAATCAAGCACCCCGAACCGTGAGAGGCAAGGGGACTCACTTTAGTGAAGCACTTCGAACCATGAGAGGCAAGGGGACTCACTTTAATCAAGAACCTCGAACCGTTAGAGGTAAGGGGACTCACGTTAATTAAGCACCCCGAATCGTGAGAGGCAAGGGGACTCGCTTTAATGCAGCACCCCGAACCGTGAGATGCTAGGAGACTCACATTAATCAAGCACCCCGAATTGTTAGAGGCAAGGGGACTCACGTTAATCAAGCACCACAAAGGGAACAGAAACCTACTACGTCCACACCGTTGCTCCTGAGTTGCGCTAAAAGTAGAACCAAATCATAAATACATCTAAGGGCTGATATTTCTGATCAGTGAAGTATTGACCTTTACAACATAGGAGCTGGAGGTACTCTTAAATTTGTCTAATTAACAGGTAATTGCCTTTGGATCGTTGGAATTTTGAGCGTTGAGCCCATGAAAACTTTAGTTCTCCTCTTTTTTCCGAAAATGTTAGCGTAATTTACCGAGAGCCAACTTTCATATGGATCCTGCAAGTTCTTTTAAATGATTGTAAGGGAGTGTAAGGGAGTAATCGAGTAAGTGTATATTATTTTTTGTAGTCATTTTCGGTTTCAGCGTCCCAAAAAAACATAGAAATACGCATACATCTTAATTTTGTACAAAAATTTAAAATTTAACCTCCTTCAGAGGGTGATAAGGGGGTGCTATCGGGAAAACGGGCAATTGAAATAATTTTTTATGGTCATATTCGGTTTCAGCGACCCCCATGGTTCATGATTTTTTTTGTGCCTGTGTTTTTATATTATGCTAATGTGTCTTTGATTGTTGATCCAATTAAGTTTCAGCCTCTGTTGTTTTAAAGAGGTCTAAAGGTGGAAGATTGGGAACAGTTAAATTTAAAAACAAACAAAATATAATAATTATTTCCCATTCAGACCACCGTAATGTCTTTTTGTACCTTTGAAGAGTTCTGAAATACATATGACATTCAGAAATGCAAATAACTGAAATTCAGCACCAATTCTTAATTTAATTTTTTAGCATTTTTGGGGAAATACATGTGGCACATTGTGATATACAAATATTTATAATTGGTTGTATTAATCTTTAATTTTATGTTTAAAGTCCCTAACCCTGCAGACGACCCAGGTAGACAAATGTGGATTTGAACCAAACTGTCAAACCCAGCCGACAGCCACGAGGCGGGGGTGACCCAGGTAAAAGAACTGTCTGTACTTTTTACGGCCGGGTTGTCTGCCTTTGCGGGGGTATTTTAAAGGTCACGCGGGGGTTGAGAGCGGCGTCTGAAAAGCCGATACTCACTTCAGATGCTCGCTGCGAACGTGGGCCTCGATAGATTCACAGGTGTTGGTGATTTTCAGGCAGCTCGGCCATGTGCACTGGAACACTATGCGAGTCACACTCTGCAACAAAAATTATAGTTTTAAATGTGCCAGGTAGTTGGAACGCTGAAAAATTTATTTGGGTAAAATCGTACCTCCATATCTTATAGAGTAAAAAACGGTGTAACAAATTTAGGTGGTCGATAGCAAAAAGTATTTCAAAAACGGTAAATTTGATTTAAGAAAGCGTCGCTTCTGTTCAAGAAAAAAAATGTTAAAGGTGTGGACAAAAATTCTATTCATGTACAGGAACATATTATAATGTGCACAGGTCAATCACATGTGAGTGAGGTCATATTGGGACAAAATAAATAGAAAAGCAACTTATCTCACAAAATTGTGTGTTTTATTCTGAATTAATTGTTATTGCTCATAACCGGCAGCGAAAAGAATACATAATTTTTGATAATTCCCATTTTCTTTTTTATCACAGTACAATTTTTTTCTGAAATAATTAAATTTAAAACGCATTCAATTATTTCTCAATCTTATTCTGAAATAAATTTCCTAATTGACTTGAAGAAATGAAACAAGTGATTCTCCGTTTAAAAATATTTAAAAAGTTCGTATAACCCTATATCCTAAACGGTTCAGTTTTTGAGGTTAAACTTTTGAAAAATGTGACGCTTACGCGATGTCTCTGAAGATGTTCTAAAGTGAAGAACCTTAGGCTGGCGATTTTAACTAAGTAAAGGTAAAAGTTCGGCGAATTTGTGAACAATTATATCAACCAGATGAAGAAATATTTACCGGAAGACACAATAAAAAGGAAAAAAATTTCGACTATGCTGACTACTTTGGAAATTCAGTTGGTGCTTTTCACCTGTAATTATGTTACTTATCTACCTAGATGCTAGCCTAAATTTCATCGTACATAAAACTACTTTTTTACTACATTTTGACATTTTCTGAAATTCAAACTCTCAATCTAGGGACTCAATATAAGCGATTAAAATAAAATTTACGCTTTTAATTAAAAATTACCATTCTGAAATACTATTGGCTCTTACTGAAGCACACATTTAATGTTTACTTAAAGATCATATAGTCATATCAGACAAATTTTTCTATAGACTACCATTTCAACGCATTTTAAGGAAACTAGCATTTACTTTATTACTGCTGTTAACAAAACCTAGTTTTAAATATTTTTTTTGTAATAGACCCTTTTAATGTGACGTCACATATTTAGCCAACCCGCAACAAATTTTCATAGTTGAAATTGTACAGACCGAATCTGACCCTTGTGTACTAAAATGAACATCTTCAAATGAATTTATTTTTACAAAGTATTTAAGAACAACCAAGATGTGTTTGGTAAAATAGATACACTAATGTGCTTAAAACTTACAAAAAACGATATAAAAGGATATTCCTAAATTTAAATAAAGTAAAAATTTAGCATTGGCTGTGTTATCCCTATTGCGCATGCTCGGATAAAATAGCCTCATACGCAGGTAAGATCTTGTTGATATGTCATGGCTGTTACCATTAACGTATTTTCCCTTCTTTTGTTTGATCCTGGCATTTTCAAGTTCTACTAAGTATTTTTATTGTTTTTCTTGGTTTATTATAGACGTGCTCTTAACCAGTACCAAACTTTTCTTGAATGATCTCCTGTTGTGAGGCTACTTCACTTAACCGTAAACATTAATTTTAAACATAATAACTACAAAAGAATTAATAAATATAATGCACTTCTTTTAAGCAAAATACAGATTTACTTATTACTTTATTATAGTATTGGCTTTTGCATTAGAGAGAATTAAGCCTTCAACATTGTTCTTTCACAGAGAAAGTAGCTTACGCTAAATCTCGCAAGCTGTAAAAACAAATGTGTTATCCCTTTGACCCCAGTAATGTCATCATTTAGCAAACTGTTTATTGTTATAGATCATACGTAACTATTGGCTAAAAAACTGTTAGAGTTCATTGTTATTTGAAAAACTATCATTATGAAGGTGTTATAAAATAAAAAAGTGTATGTCATTTGAGGAAGAGGAAAGCTCTAATTCTGTAAGTAGGTATATTTATTAATTTTTTATATTTGGCGTGTTTAAAACAATTTCTACATTAGCATAAGTAACACGAACATTTTTATATTTTTTTATATCAAAATTATAAAAAATGTAATAAATATAAAATTTAAAGGCGACATGTAGTATGTCGCATGAAAGAGGAAAAACAAGCAATTATTTTGTGGCCAGTCTACTTCGATGATAATTATTTTTTGCGCCCGTGTAGGGGGTGCAGCAATTTACATACGATAGTTCCAAAATCTGTTTATATCAGGTGAAAAATATCAATTTTGCCATGAAATTTTATTAAAATAAGTTTTCTCTATCTCTTAAAATAAAAAAGTTAGACGACCCTAAACTTTCGGCACTTTTCCGGTTTTCTTTATAAATTCTCACAAAGTTGGCCATGGATCTCAAATTTCTTTTTAGGAGCATAAAGGCCTCAAAAAATGCAACAAAAAACATAAAGATTTTTGACGTGCGTCGTATATTAAAGCGAGATACATAGAAGGGGCCCTCTTACAGTAGACAGCCTGTATATTTATACTGAAATATCTTGAAAAAGTTTCATGTGAAACAGTATCAACAAAAAAATATCATGTAAGATACCTCTGCGAAAACTATTCCTAAATCATCATCAGATTATCACGTATCAGTTTTATTTTAATATCATTCTATTCTAGATACAATTTTAACACAATAAAATTGCATTAAAACTGCATTTTCGAGAGATGTATTCATTAACTTGTTTTCTTATTTTGAGAGTATTACCTTCAATTTGTATTAGAAAGGAGCAATGTAGAAAGTTGGCTTAAAGTGATCAGTTCTTTTAAAACAACGTCGAATTAACTCATTCGCAGTCTTTTTATCCTCTAATACCTCTTCCACAAACTGCTTTTTTATAATTGAAGTTAACCTTCTTAAATAAACTAAGGAAGGGGTAGTTTAAATTGATTTCCACCAACTTTTACACAATAAGTTTTGTTGTGGAAAACTGAACTGTATTGGGTCGGAAAATCAACATGAATTTCGGCCACACCTGTACGTTGTACGCGTTGTACATATAGCAAATATTCTATATATTTCGGTGAATATGAATATTTATTTTTCCGTTTTCAATTGGTAAATCAACAGAAACGACCTGGATATATCATTTAGCGATCTTTCCAATAAACTGGTTATTATTAGCATTATTTTAAGTAATGTATCCCGTAATTTAAAACCCTTTGTGCCTTCATAATTTAAAGAGCAAACAAATCTTACAACTTCTACTTCCAAACTGAACAGAAAACATACAATCCATCGAATATTTTGAGGTGTAAATAGATCCGCCTTGAACTTTTTAACAGGATTCGGTTGCTCAAATTTCTGGCGGTAAATAATCCGAATAATATCCTAGGAAATCTAATATCCCCGTTTTTAATACTTTTTAAAACGTGCGTGCGCGGTTCCGACGATTGAGGGGGGTAATTAGGGTGCCCATTTTCAAAATTACGACTGGCGTGAGTTGGAAACTCGTAATTAAAAGATTACATATCAGTGATATTTTATACTGTTTTTTTTTACTTCACGAGGCATGCCCTGTAATTATGTACCATTAAATTTTATGTTGACGTAACGAAATTTAGTTGAAAAAAATAAATAAATAAAATATTTAGTGTTCCGTCGTTATTGGGTAATAGTGACTTTCTCTGTCCTGCAGTAAGTTTCGGTAGCTGTTAATATATGACATAAAAAATATCTTATTCCAATTGCATGCAATCGTGATTTTTATTTTATTGCTTTTTACACCAGCACTTAAACAAGTTGTAGCAAGTAACAATTTTTGTTTTGTGATAAAAAGTTGAGATATTGCATTATATTAATAACATAAAATTCTTGTTTATAGTGCAGATAAATAAGAATAAGAACTTATAAACTTAAATTGCATTTCTGTAACACAGAGCTAAACTGTATTAACTCCATTTTTTACGAAAATGGGATTATTTGACAGCCTAACACAGTTTCTTATGCTCTTTCACGTGATAAACAGTAATAACTCCCACTCATTATATTTTCGAAGATAGATAGTGCTAAATAATAATAAGTCCCAACCTGTCTCCAAGCTAGACAATCGTATGTGTATTTAATATTAACCGTGTTTCATTTCCACAATATTAAGTTCCTTGTTACATCAATTTAGTCCGAGCCAAACAGGTGTATATGTGGAGTTAATATTCTATTAGTTTGACTTCAGAGTATTAACTCCACACATATCAAGATCATGTTGGTTTACTTTATTATAGTATTATATCCACATTCATCATGTGTAGACGTGTTTGTGTAGTGTTGTGATAACTGGTAAATTATTAGTTATTGAAAAAGTGACTGATGACATGTAAAGGCGACATTTCTGTTTAAAGAATAATAATTACATTTGTTTTTGTTTTTTCTATGCAGTTTATTAAGAATCAAATGTGTTGTTGGTTTATTTAAACTTTAGTTTTTTTACGAATATTATCTGATGTTTATATTTTTAAACATATTTATTGAATGTAGTTTATTTATTGTTTTGTTGTGTGTACTATTTCAATAAAAAAATTAAACTGGTAGTTTTTATCAGTATTATCCTCAGTATTATCGCACAACTAGTAAATATTATAATATAAAATCCCTAAATCATGTTTGTGCCAAATAGTGTTAACTCCATATTTTCGAAAAAAAAATACGAATAGAAAATTATTCTTTAAATTACAATAAATAATATTAAAATAGACGTATAACTTCACATCATATTAATTTTTTTTATCAAGGAGAAGTAAGAGTTCGAAGTCATGGAATGATAAGCAAAATTTAAATCTTTAAATTTCTCTCCTGTAAAATTTCATTTTTGGCACTTAATACAGTTTAGCTCTGAGGTACAGATTTGTAAATTTGGTCATGGTTGCAATTTAAATATACTAATTGTGAAAAAAAATTCTCACTTTATCATAACATTGCGATTATACCTACATATTCGTTTAT